CTGATTAAGTATCAGTTCTTATAAAAGTATGAGAATCTTAATTAACGAATATTGGTTGTAGTTTTTATTTAATAGTAGCTGTCTTCTTTAAGGAAAATTTTAGTTTAACAATTTCAAGATGGTTCAATTTTTACTATAATTGAAGAAAAAATTAATCTCACCTTTAGATTCTTACAATAACAATCAATCATGGTTTTATATTTTGAAACTAATGTGCTTTAAATAATATTTTCTGTTAAAATTTAGTAGATTAGCTTGATCTTTGAGATATTATGAACCTCCCAATTATTAATGAAATAGTGTGTGCCAGTTTTAAATCTGCCTAACAAATAGATTGCTCTTTAACTACCTAACTAAATAGTAACTTATTGCATAATACCAACTTGTCACCGGTACCAGTGTTGTTTATGTTCTACTTTGTATATTCCTCTTTTTAAGATTCAAGACAGTCCAGTCTGTTAATTTATTGACTGTTAAAAGCAACCAATCTCTCTATTAGAATTATTGAAATTGAAAGGTAAGAAGGATTAAAAAAACCAAAGTGGTAAACCAAGATAAAACCATTTAAAGAGCAAAAATATCTGATATAGAATTGTCCTTAACACAATGACCGTATTGCTGGCAAAGCAAGCATAGCATAGAAAGATCTTTGTTATAAAATAATGACCATAAGGTAAGAGTGATGATTACTGAATAACATTATATCTAGATATATACCCTTATTTCTACTCAAAGACTCCACTATACACTTATTATACCAAATTATTGGTTTTGTTATACTGTTAGCACTAAATCATGTTCTTTTATCTTGGGTATATGTAGTATTCATTAAGGCTAATAATAAGAAATCAATAGAAATCAAAAGAAATCAGCTATTGATATGGTTATTGTTTATACTATACTATAGCTAAAAGATCGATATATAATTACTACATTGATATATTAGAAATAAATCTCATCAGTGAGTGGGTTGTCTTTTCTTTGAGATATAGTAGTCAAAGTTCTATCAGTTTTGACAAAATTTTCATGCTTGGTGGATAGATACATGATAATTTTATGCATCACCTCAATGTTGTCCAAATGATTAGATTAATAAGTAAACGAACATATAAAGTGATATATAATATGCATTAAATAAAAACTTAACCTCACCACTCATTCCAGAGGTTGTAATAACAAGTTACCTTGAATATTTTTGACTTGAGCCATTGTCACAGCAAAATATTTAATAAATACTTATCACATATGATTTAATTCTTATTGTATCTATACTATACTTGTCAAGAATATATTGAATAATCAAATAAATATCATCTAGACATAGTTTGGTTTAATACTATAGGTAAGGATTGCATAATATTCAAGTTATGCTTTCATGGCTTAGCTTTATCAACAATACAGATATTAACTGACATATAGGTATATGCAATCTATGATAATAGAGGGAACCTACCACACTTCCAGGAAGGCTACTAATTAAGTTACAAACCTATTTGATAAAGTGAAATAAGTAATTGAGTAAGATATCAATGATAACCATCGGTCGAGTTTACTTTAAATACGTGCTGTTCAAAGAATCAAGCATCATTGGAAGTAGTTAACGTTAGCCTTCATGAAAAGAGTCTAACAACGAGTATTTCATAGATGTCAGCATAGTCAGATTATTTGCAATAAGAAATACTGATGAATTCTAATTAAATTGACTTTAAGGTAATATTAGAGGCAATTTTTGGAGATTCATGCTTCACCAAAGAAAGTATTTTCGATAGTGAAGCAGTGTTCGTAGTATAAATAAGTATTTAAAGATTTAAAGTAATAATATAAACAGTTTTTGAATCAGTAAATGGAAATTCTTTTATATCTAAGTATTATTCAAACCAAATCACTTAATATTGCCATGAGCTGCCAAACTTTTGTTGTAGTCGTTCAGTTAGAAACTTCAGATTGCAATAGAACATTTGTTTTTATAAATGACAGAGTTAATCAAATATAATATATGTGCCAAATAGTAAACAGTTGGGCAAATGTTTCTAAATATCTCAATTCCTAGTTTCATATCATTTCTTTTAATCGACAGACCATTCATGATTTCTTCTCCCATTATAAGATCTCTCTAGAAAAAGGATCTGTAAGTAAGTTTAATAGAAAGCTCTAGAAACTCATTCTTTTGGCATCATTACCCAAGAAACTTAAGATACTATTTTAGTAATAAACTTGTAACGATAAAACAGAAAGATTAGCTATATATTTTGTCTCTAGTTAAGCTAAATTTCAAACTAGCATAAATACAATACGAGAACCTGGTGTAGTTATAGCTCTCTCTAAACTTGAAAATTGTATTAATCAAATTCTGTTGATTCTTAAAATAAATGTATTTCAAGTGTATTGGATAATTTTATTAATGCTAGAATATTATTTATGTTAAAATTCGAGACACTTGCAATATGAATAGTAATGGTCCAGCTTTATAGTTAGTGGCATAATCCAGTAATATCAATATATACAATTATGAAATTTATTAAGAACAATATAAATCAGTATAATGAGAACCAAACACTTGAAGGGAACAAATCAAACAATTTATAAAATATATGATAATTAATATTGCTGGCAAGATATCATAACCTGTTTCTTTAAATATTTAATGAAATGATGCAACTTCTAAGAAGTGCACTCCATTTATTTGAACCTGATATTGAAAGGTATTTATTATAATGGCATAAATTAATAAATTACTAGATTAGAAATTATTCTTAGGAATTCAGAAATTAGAATACCATTATTATAATAGTTAACAGAGCAATATTTTAGACAAATAGACTCATGGTATTGTTACAATCTCTAATTAAATGTTGAAATGTTTCGTTTAACCACCAATAGATAATTATATATTCTATCGAACTTCGACTTATCAAGGTCTGAGAATCGTAATAAAATCATTATTAGTACTGTTGTTCTATTGAGTTTTATTTAATTATAAATGTTCATTAGGGACCAGTATCTAACATATTCAACATATTTTATGTCGAAGTTAATTGTTGCAACAACATTTAAAAGTTTCCAATATAGTAAGTAAGTTTTATTGTCAATTATAAATTCTGCCCAGTATTTAAAGATTTAATCACAATCAACTTATTATATTTGTGGTATCCAATCAATATTTGTAAACTATCCAGATTCATTTTTAATATTGAAACTAAACCATTGAAGTGTTCACTTAGTAGGAAAAGCTTATTTATGACAGCTAAACTAAACTTAAAATTTGGACTCATATAAATATTTGGATAGTATAATTTACATAAATAGTGATGTATCAAGAGTTCTAAGAGTAAATTTTTGACCTTTATGATTAGCAAGATTAAATATTTTATGTCTGAATTCTATCAGGTAATAAATAATATTTAAAGAGAAGAAAAAATAAAATCTTGATAAAGACATTGTATACTTGAGATACTTCTACAATTAGCTATAAATCCTGGTTATTCCAAGACCAACAGTATTAGTCAGTATGCTATTCAATAAAACTTGAACTTGATAGCACAGACAAGCTCGACATTTGTTGCTCTCATCAATTAATTTATTAGATGTATTGGGAATATCTACAAGAAAGTTACTTTGAAAGCTAATGTACACATTGAGTTCAAATCTAGAAAGTGAATTAAAATGAACGATACAGCACCAATTTAAATAATTAACTAGTAAATTTAACTAGTAATTTATTGTTAATAAAGTTACAAGAAATTGTCCAAACATGACATCAATTCTTGAAAACGCTGCAATTAATCTAGACAGTACTCAATGTGACCAGATATGAATTTCTGTAGATTTAAATCGGAATGGTTATCTGTTAATTAATATTATTTTATATTTTACTCACATAAGTCTTCAATCCATATACCAGTTTCTTCACTCGTAATTAATAAAATATATTTCATGTAATTCAAATAATAAAATTCAAACATTTGACACTAGATAGACTCAATGGCATATGAATAATGAAATATGATCAACTCGAAATATGGGAAGATATATCTTAATATTATAAAATATACATTTTAAATCATCTAAGATACTCGTCGCTTGGTAATACTGGTACAAATGCTGGTGCTGCTGTTAATCTGTAAACTTATAGAATAAGCAATGTAACAGTTCACTAATCCCAATAGAATGTTTTTGGAGCCTTATTATCAGTAATAGCATAATATATTAGTTGCTTTTAATTTAATTAAACTAGCGTTTATAAACTTTAAATTTGAACCATTCCTGAATGCCTAATCAATTTCCTCATCAGTGAAGAGATAGTATACCTGAGAATATTTAGTCAATATCAAGGTCCTCATTAACTAGACTAATTAAAGCTCTGAGACTACTTCTACTAGTTGAATTAAACTAGTTGGTAAATAAACATTTAGTTGTAGAACAAATTCTTGTAATTCTTCACCATCAAATAGACAATCTTAGTCATAGTAATTTTACTAGGTAATTTGGACAACTAAAGCTAATAATCTATGGTATTGTTCAAATATGCCAATTGCAAATTAGATGAGTTTATGAGAGTATATTATTACTGAATGATTATCAAAAGTTAACAGTATTAAGTTATTCATTGATAAATTTTGAAGTCAAGTTCTTTTTATGATATTGACATATGCAGTTTTCATAAATTTATGCTCAAGAATGCCATCATAAAACCAAGAGTTAATGTGATAATGATAATAAATAAATATTATCTGAATTACCAGACACACAAAATGACCAACATTTAATCTTTGCTGTTTCAGAAATTGTTTGATTGTTACCAATAAATGAAGTACTCTGCTCCTTTTCATTAGGTACAATAAAATTTTAATATCAACAGCACATATGAGAACTATAGTATAAGTTGAATAGAAAGATTCTGATTATTCTAACCCAAAGAGAACCCCAAATTATATTAAATTAATCACATATCCGTAACAATGTGTTCATATATCTATATATATTATGCATATTAAAAAGTATTAAATTTCATGATTGAATAGTACATTTCTCGTTAACTCAGTTTCAACACTAGAGTTCTCATCATCTTCTTCATAAGTCTCATGGTTGTAATAAAAGTGTCCACCAGATTGCATCTCTAAATTCGAATCTTGGGAACGTTGACGTGTTAATGAAGTATTGGACCTATAAGTATCACTAGTCTTTGCAACAATATTCTTTAAACTGCTTAAATTTCTTTTAGTCTTAGGTAGTCGATTCTCTGAACCATTCCTACCACCAGAATTAGATGAATACTCTTTTGAACTAGAATTAATCTGACTAAAAGGTATTCCAGCAGAGTCTGAAGAATTTTTGAAAGTATTATATAGTTTTTTTTTCTTCATAGACTTCATTGATGAAGACCAAATATTTTTTGGGAAAGATAATTGACGTACTGAGGATGACTTTCTTGATTGATCCAATAATCTTTCATCACCAATAAAAGTCGAGCTGTTCATGGTATTCAACTCATTCCCAGAATCTAAATTCCCAGTTTCTTCATCAAATGATTTTTCATTTCCTGTTAAATAATCTAAAGCTGGATCAACAAAAAATCTATCAGTGTTATCAATTTTTCTACCTAAAACAGTTTCTTTGCCCAGAATACTAGCTCTTCTTTCGAAGACTCCTATCAACCCCCATGTATTTATAGTAACTAGCAGCTTTAAAAATCTTAGAATACCATACCTCCAAGAAAATTTGTTGAACTTATTAGCAACAAAAAAGAAGAATACACAGAATAGTAATAAAATTACTATCGCATTGTATATTATCAGAGGTACAGTAGAATGATATGACCTCCAAAGTATCTTTGTTACTTCACCAAAGGTTAACTTCCTATTTTTATCTTGGACATGATTTGGTCTAAGAGTATAGCCAAAATCATGCCAAATATATGCAACAACTAATGAAGAAAAAAGAATATAACTGAACCCTTCTATTATTTTGTAAGATATAGAAACATATAGAAATGAGACATCTGTTAAAAGTAAAGTATAGAATAATTCATCTACTAATGTCAATAATAAGCCTCCTAAAACAATGAATCTATTTCTGTTGTTTCTAATACACTCAGGAAATGGAATAATTTTTGTTACTATTCTCTTAGAGTTATGATGCATATAATATATTATGTTAATCCAATTAATGCAACATAAGAAGTTGACTAATAATTCAAATACTTTAAATGTTCTAGAACTGATTATTTTTCTTTCGAAGTAAGCAGGGTCTTCATAATTTTCAAGATATTCTGGTTTATAAACGTATTTTATTGCAACACCATTGATTCCAGATTCGAATATACATGATGCTAAAATGTAAACATGAACCAACTTACGTTTACTGTTATGATTTGTTACTGGTAATAGCAGTAAAATTAGATATATCATCCAACTACCAAAACAAATGAATGATGCAACAAATGTAATCATTATCAATCCATTGAGGAATGTATTTTGATTTAAAAAATGATGGAACAATTGAACTGGTTTATTGTCGTCATTAGTAGGTATTACAATTGTTTCTATTTGTTCTAAAAAATCCTTGAAATAATAGGTATCATTCCTACCTAGGCAAGATATAAAAAGTATTGGAAAGTTGCTTGAATGGTTGTTAACTAATAATTTTGATTGATAAACCAATGAATAGTAACCACTTGTTATGATATTAGCCTTACAGATGTCACCAAAAGGGGTTAAAATAGTTTCATTTAATAACTGTAGAAATTGATGAGTAGTACCATTATGTTGATGATTATGGTATCTATTAATTTGACTCGCTGCTTGCCGTACGTAATTTGAATTCATATTTTCATATTTATCATTAATAAGAGACAAATAAACCAAACAAAAAGATATTTATTCCAAATAATTAACTTGTATTCTTAAAAGTAATTGTTTCCAATACAATAAAGGTATCAATCTTTTTCAATACTTCGAATTCGAATTCGAATTCTATTTCGATATCTAGATTTAGAGTATATTCGTAACACCAGCCAGTAGTCTCACACAGTATCAGGTATATTCAACCAATATATAGATATATATATATATATATATCTATACCTTCTAAGATAAACTTCTTTGACAACCCAGTCCTAGCTTAAATAAATATTATATAATCAGTACCTTTATTGAATTTTATGTAGTTAGTATGTATAAGTTTATGCTTAAATTTCTATAAATATTCAAAAATGATGGTGATGGGGGATTATTGACAAAAAGAATAGAATTTCTGCAGATGCAATATTTGAAAACCAAAAAAATTATAACTTTATGGACGAGTCCGGAGTCGAACCGAAGACCTCTCCCATGCTAAGGGAGCGCGCTACCAACTACGCCACACGCCCGTAATTTGTTATGATTTTTTGATATATGGAAACGACCACTTTCCATGACTTAGATCATATGAGTATCATTCAACACGGAATTCCAACCAATTTATATCTACATTCTGCCTTTTTTTTATTTTTTTAAGGTGAAGAAAAAGAAGGTTTCTGGTTCACTATCAAATCGAAAGGAAGAAAGGTAAGGACAAGATGTCATTAATAATTAGGAAATTATAATTGCATCATTATTAAAAGATCAATCCGGAATAATACTATACCATCTTATCTTATTCAAGGCCAATGTCCTGTAGAAGGTTTAAGATGTAATATACAGTTTTAGGGTGTTTAATCAGAAGAAACGGTTGCATGGATCGCTTTCCCCAATTAGATATTGAACAAAATAGAATTATAATCGTAATTTACTTAAATTAATATTCTATTACAAGATTGTTATAACATAACGACATTTAACTAATTGGGATGCAAAAAACTGAAGGTTATAATTAGAATTAGTATCGAACAGTTGTATAAGAATAGTCTTGTTCGTCTTGGATAAAAACATATTTTGAATGTTTTTTTTTTTTTTTAATTTTCTGTTTTGTGAATGGAATCACTCTTAAGTTAAATTAAGTTTCACTGTACTTTTTTAATCCATTTAAGAATTGTTATTACTAATGAGATGAGATCGTAATCATGATACGTTGCTTTAGGAAGTAGGTGTACCGTTATATGACGACTTGAGGCGTCCTATTGCATTCGATTGAATTAGATTTTACGTTATATCCTATTTTCTTTCGGTTTTCTATTGTTTATTATTTGGCTTAGGCAAAATCAGGCTTGTTAAACAGAAATTGGAATAGATGAATTCTTACAGAGACTCGTATTACCAATTTCAACATTTTGATGAAAGTTTCCATTGCCTGTATTACGAATGGAATAGAGACGAATTTCCCTTAACGGAGGAGGAGATAGGTGGTGATAATGGCCAAAATAGCAATTTAAATGTTGATAATAATGTTGATGGTAATAATGTGGGTATTAACAATAGTGGTGTAAATGGTAATACAAGTAATCACCCGAAGAATACTAATGGTACTAATGGTAATGGTGATACATTAAGTAGTAATCAGGCATATTGGGATTATTTCCATGATGAAGAGGATTGGGAATTGTTTAAAGGTATGCAGCTTGATAGTAATGGTGTGGTGACTTTTAACTTTGTCAATGAAGAGATTGACTTCAATTGTACTAGTCCAGACAAAGAAATCAACAATTTTGACGTAACTGATCCTAGTAATACAAATTTTATAGCCACAAATGGTATTGACATGACGATGATGACAGCGTCAAACGTGGAACAAATAGGTGGTAGTGATAATACATTTATTGATTCAAGTAACGGACAGCCTGTCCCAAGAGGATATCAGCCAAAGCAACACTTTGCGATGGTGCCAGACACGATCACAGGATCAATATTTAATAGACAACGAGGGGTTATAAGAATTGCAAGGCAACAAAACAGTTCTTGGAAGGACTGGACACTAAGATGATTGGCAATACATGTGTGCATTAAACTTCTCAGTGAGGCAGTGGCCATGCTAATTAAAGTATAAGTAAAATGAAATAGATCAAAAAATAAAAAGAAAGTAATGTAAAGTACCCACTTTTAAACCAGAAATTAATAATAGTACCATTATTGTTTAATGAAATACAGAGGATTCCAAAACAAGAAGTATTACTAAAAATTCAATTTAACCTTTTTTATTTTTAATTTTTTATTTTTAATACATTATTTCAAATCAATTTGGTATGATGTTTGTGACCTAATTACACCAAATAACTAACTACACTAGCAACGACGACAGAAATGATTTTTGATATTAGTCTTCCCAAGTTTTTAAAAGAAAAATCGAGACAAAATTACAGATCCAGCAGTATAAGCATGAAAAAGTATTGCGTATAGGAAATGTCAGACATTATTTTCTGCGAAATCTTACTACAAAGCTAACAATAAATGCAAAATATAAGCCAATATCATTAACAAATGACAACAGATGACTTGGTCCACTTCATTTTCCGTCTTGTATAAAACCTAGCATGAAAGAAGGGAGACATGTATAAGAAGACTAGTTGCTAACATCATACAATTAGAAGGAAAGTAATGTAGGTATAGCATATGTATATTTTTATATTTATTTCTTTTAAGATTCTATACAAAACGTATTATAAATGTAGTAGAAATGGTCAAAATCAAAGCTCAATCAAGATTTACTTATTGTAAAAAATTTGTAGTCAAGACAAGAACAAGTAGAATGAAGATGAACAAAATTCCACTGAATAATGCTCGAATCAATTGTGAAAAGATAAAACATTTTTTATTTTTTTGCTTTTTTTAGTTTCTCAAGGCAAAATTCTCTTTAACAGGTAGTTATTAAGATCTTGAATGTACTTGAAACATATGGAGTACACATTGAAAAATTTTCTTTTAAGAAAATATGGATTAAACTTTTGAACCTAAAACTCATTGAATGTAGTCAGTAGGTGAATTAGGTAGATATCTTATTTGGTTCAAATTTGCCAATGATGAGAGAAATACTGGAGCAAGGAAGGTATTAAACTTGGTAAAAAAAAAAGATTATTAGTTTATTTTTTTTTTGTCTCACTTTATTTTAGCTAAGTAGAGACCTTTTTCTGCTTTTTTATCTATGTTCTCGATAGTCTTACAACCGTTAAATTTCCAAAAGACCCAGTTAATATCTAGAAGAGAGCACAAGCTTTCACTGGGGAGGAACAACCCAAGGGGATAAAATTTCTAGCTACTGACAGACAAGAACCTTAACAACATCATTTTCCATTTAAGAGATATGTAAGTAGACAAGTGGACACAGGCTACTAAAGTGTGCGTTTGTATGTATGTGCTTTTTCTTTTCATTTTCTTTCTTGCTTGACCAACCCAATTCTAACGAATCGTACTGACTCTAGCATTTTCTGTTGAGAAAACTTTACCAAACTCAAGTGAGTACCAGAGAGGGACGTACACAGGTAGACTTGAATTGTCTCATTGGAATGAAGCTTTGAGAGAAAAAAAACAATGACAACATAGAATCAATACTGGGCAAACTAGGCAGAGGGAGTGAGAGTACAAGAGTTAAGATAGGCAAAGCCCCTACGTAAATTAACATGATCCCTTGTACAAAGTTAACAGTAAACCACATCTTCTTCTATATATCCCTTCCTTTATTAAAAAATTATGGGAAAACTGCAGTGGCCTGAAACGTCTAAAATCTAATTTAATTTAATTTATTTTAATTTAATTTTAAATTTTTCTTAAGATTTCAACCCAATCCCAATCTAAATATGTTATCTATCCCTTTCAATACGTTGTCCTTAATAGGAGAATACAAATAGTGACCACATTATCGATTTTCTAGCAATCCAATAGAAATAAAGGAATGCTGTGTACCAATTAAGTTAAAGATGTACTTATTACCACAAGAGGACAGATAACATCACCTTTTCCCGATTTCTGTATCGTCTTGTATTGTAACTTCTTAACTCGTTTGTCAAGGTTTTGTTTGATGGAAAGGATATAATACTTCTATTAGCAGTGGTACTCTTAGTATTGTTGCAAAATATATATCACATACAACTAAGGTAATAACTTTATTACTGTCATTTTACTGCAATGCAAATACGTCTTTATTTTTTGCATGTGGGAAAAACAAAAGAGAGACGGACAAATTTTTGAGGAAAAAGGAAAAAAAAATAAGATAAAAAATAACAACCAACATCCGGAAAAAGGAAAACGGTTAACAGCCGAGAGCGAAAAGTACAATACAGAAAAGGATAAAAAAAGAAAAAAAACTTTTTTGGAATACTTTTTCTCCGACTCTCTCTCTTTCTCTCTATTTCTTGTTTTTCCAAAGAAAAAGAAACAACAAAAATTTCTGAACTTGAAAGTAAGTTATGCGGGACGGTCTGCCAGTTCTCTACATTTTCAGATGTTGCAAGGAAAATACGTTTCTTGTTTTGGGATTAGCAGGGGACCCTGCAACTTTTTCTTTGGCGAGGGATGCTCGAGAGTGTTGGTTCGATGCATATCGAACGTTCGGAGTTATGCGTCTACTTCTCAGAGAGACTGGCGGCAAAGAACAAAAAGAAACGAATTGAAGTCGTCAGTGTATTTTTTCCTTTTTCATCTTGGATATGAGGTTGGGATCCAGAAAAAGCACAAGATTGGACCAGAGAGAAGAGAAGAGAAAAGAAGAGGATATGCGGAAGACAGAATCTGAGGGCCGGTAAGATCTGGGAGGGCCACAAGATGAGCTGTGTTTGCTTCTCTACTTGTTTTCTTGTTTGTTTGATTGTTTGTTTGATTGTTTGACTGATTGTCTTGTTGTTTTCTAAGTGGAAGTGCCTAGTGTTTACTCACTCAATGACATAGGGACTTTGGTATTTTTTTTTTAATGATCCAGAGATTAATACACTGGATCTTAAAGAAAGCCGAAATACAATAGAAATTTTCCTTAGCTTAATTGGAAGGGTAAGAGAAATGCAAGGCTCATTTATTGACCTAACGTGGTTATAAGATGAACACATAGCGCAGAGAGAAAGATACTATTTCTGTTTGCCATTATAAGTTTATATGCAGTACGTAATTGGCCTTGAGAATTTCCAGTAATAAGATTAGAAGAAGAGAAAAAAAATATTTTAACTAAAATTTAAACATAAAAATTCAGAGGTCAGTAAATAGAGGAGAGAGGGCAGAAAACATCAGAACATTGAGAACATTTAGAGGAAGAAAAAGAAAGCAACTGTGGATGCCTATTTGTAATCTTCTGCGGAATTCGATGGGGTTTTAGGATCATTGATTGATTGGGCGCGACAGGCAACGTATGATATGTGATGATGGTAAGCTTTTTTTAAGCTGTCTCAGGTTGATAGAAATAAACCACTATTTGCTGCTAGAGGTTACTAATATCTTACTAAAAAGCGTTCGTAACTGTGATTTTTTCATTTAAAATACCGGAATATGGTGAAATTTAACAAGATTTTTAAATTATTCGTAATATAAAGAATAAATAATACATTAACTACATACAAAATGGGAATTAAAAATGACCTAATATAGAACCTGATTTTCTAGACCTTGTTCTTCTTGATGTAATAGTAATACTAATAAAATTTTTCACGGGTGTCAATATCTTCACACCCCAAACACAGTTAATGAGCACTACAGTCTTGCCTTGATCGTGTATCACTGAATAAAAGAAACAATTCAAAAGTTAGTAAATTCTAGGGAAAACCCTGGGAGGGCTCAGTTTGAGGTCTGGAAAATGAATTGTAGAAGTTAATTTTGAAGGATTATGGTTAATAAGAATCAAGCATGCAGGCATACTGCTTTTATGAATAGATTGGCCTCTCCGGAAGTATGTATTCCCTATGCTTAAATTTCTTGCATTGCTGACACTAATTAATGTTAGAGATACCATAGAGGGAGGGAGGGGGGAGGTGGATGTTTCTTAAAAGGTTATCACTCTAAGAGGTTTTGCCATACATAGCCTATTCAAGGAGACATCCGACGACGTGATGACAACTTTAGGAATTGGTAAAAAGTATGCTTTATTGGTGCGTCATAGGAGAGCGAATAATGTTAGAAAGGGCAAACGAACCATCAAATATCTATCTAATTCATACTTTATTTCCTTTTCTACAGATTCTTCTGATTTCGAAGGAACAGCTCGATCGATCGATGTGACAAGCCATAGAGATCTGTCGGTATCTCTTCGCAATTACACAATGGCATCCCATGCGGTTAATCAGAGCGATACTGTAGAAGTCAATATCAATCTTTATAAAACATCCTATGGTTCTCTCCATACCGTGTTACCACACCTTATTGCATGAAGTATCTATTTGTTTAGCTGAATGTAATTAGTTTCCTTCAATTCTATTTTTTTTCCAATTTAGTTTAACCCAATATATCGATAGTTTTATTTTCATTGCTAGCTTATTTTGGGACATGTATTCAATCACAATTCTTTTGACAAATGGTATTTTGACACACATAATCCCGGATAACAGCACATAAACTTCGCTTCCTACTTAAAAATGTATCTGTATGGAGTGATTCTTCTGCATAATGTTATCAGGCAAATATACAATAAATGTTTATCTTTCAGTTCTCTCACAATTATAGGCATGCATGAATGTAATGTTCATAGAATATTTCTGCAATCTAACGATGGCTTTTAATCCCCCCGAGGGTTTCACTCTTCTACAACTCTCATTAATGTGCGAATACTATTTGCTGCAGGCGGGCTGTATCATCCCTAACTTTATACCTATTGTTTTAGGTATTCTTTCGCAGCAAATTGTTTTAATCGTAATGCTTTATTTAATTATTCTAAATTGACGGTATAAATTAGTGGAATCTTTAGGTTTTCTACGACAGTTCATCTAGGTAACGTTGAAATTTTAGCGTTTCGTTTCACTCTGCTCGGTGAAATTTCGGGAGACTCCTCAGTTTTGTTCTAATTAACTGGGATGTGGGACATAAATAACCTCTATAAAATCAATATTGTTTCTACGTTGATAGTACTACATTTTAGGTTGAGAACAAGCAGGAATAAAAAAAATTCAATTTACCAAAAATCTATTGGGCTCAATTGACTGGAACAGATGTGATTGAGTCACTCGAATTTTTCCTATTCAATGTCAGATCGACGGCGACGACAACAACAACAACAACTTCTGATGGCCATTTCAATAAAACTTATCGGTAGGTACCAGACAGAGTTCAAAAAAACAGTTTTAATTTGTATTAAGAATTACAAGGAGAGGCGTAGTAACGGAATCCAATATAAATATTTTCTAATTATTCATAGTGATGCAAGAATAACCCAAACTTAATTAATATAATTCTTATAAGGAAAAATAACAAGTTGTAAAACATTAATTTTAAAATTGAAATTTTCCCAATTCCTAACTCCTAGAACAAACATGTACTGATAACTAGATTTCTTGTGCTAAGAAAACTATTTGCAGTGTATATTAATGTCTTAAACATATGTCTAGTAACATGTTAAAAATTACATCAAAGCTTTTTCATTGAAGACATTCATACAAATCACATTTCTTAAGTTTGTACTAAAGATATTCTGAATTGCATAATAAAGTTGAAGTAACAACAACCTCTTACCGATGCATGTATTGAGGGAGGGGCGTGCCAACGTAAATTTGCAATAACAGAAAAATTGTCAATCATTTTTTTCAAACTTGTCGCTTACATGCATTCATTATAAAATTTAACTTGGTTTAATTTAATTTAATTTAATTTAATTAAATTCAGACTTGAATTAATCTAACTTACGTTGAATTCAATAGAGGAAGCGGTCAAGAGTTCAGAAAGAAATCAAAAAATAGCCCATACATGTTTAAAATAACTGCTTTACAGTTTGAGTTCATCCTACAGAATTTTCTTCAGGATATAACCTTGTTCAATTTCTTTTAGTTTGAGAAAAACATCGATTATAATTAATGTTGTTCGTAAGTTCCTTAACAAGTATAATACATATTTACAAATTTAATTTTAATTTGCTATGTTATTTTACTAATACAATTATCAAAAACAGTTGACAAGAACAGACTGACAAGCATAATTAGAATCCGATTTAGAATTTACTATAACCTGATAACAACAGTTCAGTAAAATCTCTTGCCAAATGAATTTTTTTTTTATCTTAGCTTAATCATTTGTAAATTAGAAAAATCTTATAACAAAAATTGATAAACTCAATTAATCTCACTACTGGTAATGGGTAGCTTCTATAGAATCCTTCTTACATCCTCTATGAAGAAAATTTACCAATCACAATTTTGAAAACTTGCACTACATTTTTGACCACTTTTAACAAATGCAAGTACTAAAATAGCATTTTTACAGAGAAAAGAATTAGGCAATTTTCCTTACCAGATTTTTAAAACTAGTTGAGACTCGTTCGTTAAAGTTATTGTAGAATTTGACCTTTCTACTTTGCCATTATTGGAAGTAAAAAAATTTCTGTTTCTTTTTTACCTTACCTTAATAACAAGAAATTAAATTACTAAAATGTTTAATTGAATAGCTAAAGAGAGACATAGACATCATTAACATGAAATGCTTCAAGATAAAGTGGGAAGAAAGAGAGAGATATACGTTATTATTTATTTAGTCTATGAAGTTGGGTTAAAGAGGCGTGCTTAAGTTTACTAGGTTGTAGTTAGGTTCGTTAACTCTAGATTTATTTAGTACCCAAACTACCTTTTTTTTTTTCTTTAATTTTTTTTTTTTAAAATTTCAGTTCAGTTCAAACAAGATATCATTAGACAAAAGGATTCCTTCCTACAAATGATAGTTTGACACTCTGACTACTTCTTTAGCTGAAATTTTATTCTAATTGATCAGTTGCGATTTAACTCCCGATTAAAAATGATTCCCTCCATTACTGTAAAATTTCCCATTACAGTTTCTTGCTTAGAGGTTTTCTCTAGGTCGAATAATAAATAAAATAGCAAGAACAGTAATTATTAATTAGTTTTTTTAGTATATGTATGTATCTCTGAGTAGTACCGCTACAGTTCACAGTACTAATGTTATTTCATTTCATCGATTTTTTTTTTTTATAATTTTAACTTGGTTTCTCAATGATATTATCTATGTTGTTGTGAGATACTACAGGACAAGGTTTTTTCAATCTATGTATTTACAATTCTAAATTGTTGTGGTCTTTGTTTGTTGCTCTTGTGTTTGTTACTCTTGTTTATTCTTTCTTCTAGTGTCCTTCTTCACTCCAAGTTAGCTGATTTTTTCTGAGAAATTGTGTATTTGGGCTTTTAACTTAATTTTAACCAAACTGTTTAATGATAATTGTTTTGTTGAGTTCAAAATTGTAATATTTCTCTAGAAGGCTTCTATCTAAAAATGCAATTATCGTTATTTTCTTAGGAGAAAGAAAAAAAAACCCCAAACATAAACCCATCTCTTCAACCTTTCTGTAATCATCATTGAAGTGAAACTTATCGTATTGCCTGTCTCGATGGTCTTTCCATCTATCTCTTTCTCCCTTCTCTCCCTGTATATGTATTCATTTGTGTGGTACACTATGTTTAAGAATATTATAAAGACTTCTTTCTCTAGATAGTCTCTCTCTTTCTCTTTCTCTTCTGACTTAAATTTTCAGTGCAATGGTAAGACATTAAACTACAATGAAATGAAAAATTAAAGTAAATAAGAAGTTTTTGGTCAACTGTGTTAACTTGAAAGTGAATTGCGGTGTAGTCAGCATATTCCACAGGTTAATTCCAGAACACTTGATTAATTAATCATATACCTCTATCCGAATTTATAGTTCTTTAAGTAGCGTATAAATGACAGTTATTCATGCGTCCATTTTTATCAGGTTTTTGCATTTTACAATTACATTAATTATTACCATTACTATTATTATTGCTCTTATTGTTGTTATATATTTTTTTTATTTTCTGTAAGAGTTGTGATAGTGAAAGACCAAGAGATAGACAGACGCACAGACAGACAGACAGTCAGTCAGTCTTATAAAATCATTTCTTAATAGTAAAACAGTAATAGTAGCTAGAAAGATTGGTATAATACTAACTAATACAAATAGTTCATAAAATTTTTAAACAAGCTAAAACTAGCCGTAACGTTGTTTCTTATTCTCTTCCCCAATTGGGTCCCCAAACTTTCTTGTTCTTGACTACCAGAAGCATTTTCATTATCGATAGAATTTCTTCTTTATTTGGATACATTCGATTTAGCTTTTAACTACGAATAATTAGTACTGCAAATTATATTAATTTTAATTTTATTACTATTATTACTTTACTACTTGACTTCCCTAGATCTCTTCTCGCCAAACAGTGTTAAACATCTGAGTAACATAGATAAAACATTTGTTACAATGATAAGTCCTTAGCAAGTTTCTCTGTCTTTACCTTTGCAATAATACAACATGTACCCATACTCACTGGTCCTTCTTAATTATATATGTATATGTAGGATTTCCCATTCGAAATGATGTTAATTGATGTTAATTATAATTGATTTTAATCTACTGCCTATTTGACAAGTTTAATTTACAACAATTCTGATATCTTAAGTAAATTCGTTAATTGATTTGAACGTAATAGTACGTCTTGTAGCAGCACTGCTTGTACTAATGCTATTATTGGTACAAGTATCTTATACCCTCCATACATGCTTACTTTTTTGTTTTCACTTAGAGATAGAGGTAAAATTCAATAATTATCTTAAATGGAAAAGTACCTCTGTTTAAAAAGAAATTAGGTTTTGGTAAATTCTCATACTACTAATGAGACATAATTTCTTTACAGTTTCCTATAACTTTTCTATTCGTTCCTCTTTAAATTGTTTACATAAAATTTAAATCGTTTTTTCTATCAGAATTATATATTTTCTTATCTTTCGTTATTAGTATATATTATTTAGTATAATTCTTAATCATAAAACTTTAAAAACTTACTAAGTCAATTGAATAAAGTTTATACTTTGACTAGCATTTTAAATTTTGGAAAAAAGAATTATATATTATTATTTTTTTGGAATAATTCTATATAGTTCTTTTTAATTTTTATTACTTCTACTGTTATTATTTTTAAATTATTTTATTTCATTCTGATTTAATTTAGCTTAATACAATTCGAATCAATTTAATCTATCATCTATATTAAATATCAAATCGTAGTCATAGTTTTAATTATATTTTAAAAATCTAATATTAATATTAATATTAATATTAATATTAAAATTTATATTATAGTTTACTCCATAGATATACATTTAGAAAGTTTGATTAACGAATGAACCTGAAACTTACCGAAGAATCTTCTGTAAATATATAGGTAATTGTTTATACTTCATATGGTTCGTCACAATTAAAGATCATGAAATGACAGCAGATCAAAACAATAACGAAACTAATAATAATACTACTGAAAATAATATCAACAATAATACAACTAATGATTCAATGGGAAATGTTGTATATCCTTCAAATTCAGTGACGTCAATAAGATCACAATTTTATCCTTTGCCAAAGATGTCCTCACCGTCACCTATAAGTAACAATACTAATAGTAATACTACTACTACTACTAATAATTATAATAATAATAATAATAATAGTCATAATATCTCTGATACACATACAATAAATATTAATACTAACAACAATAATACTGTCATGGACAATAGTATTAATGCCAACGCTAATGGTAATACTGATAGCACCCATATTAACACTACTACTAATAATACTAATAATACTAATACCAATACTACTAATAATAATACTGATAATCATAATAATAATACTAACAGTAATACTATTAGTAATACTAATGTTCAAAGAACTAATACTAGCATCAATTTGAATACCAGTAATTCAAGTAATAATTATATATCTAATGAATCTAATAATACCACTGGCATTATTTACAATACCAGTAGTTATACAGCATTGCCATATTTAAGTACTGCAGGTCCGGCCAATATGCATCCAAATACATCAGCTAGTGCATCTTCAACTACTACATCCACTCCAGTCATTGGTAAATCTCATAATTTTAATATTCTTAATAAAAATAATTCAGAAGCCAAGAGTGCCAATATTGTCAACGTCTCAAATAATGACGCGATTCTACATCAAGGTCAAAATAGTAGTGCCAATAACGCAAAAATTAACTCAGGTTACTCTTCTTCAGGTCAAATGATTCAGTTGCCAGATAAAGTAGTTAACCAACCCCAGCAACAGGTACAACCTCTTCCTCATAGACCAAACATTGCGATGCCAGCACCATATTATTATCGTGGTTCACAACCTTTGCATCAGGTAAATTATTACCAACCACTTCAACCACATTTTCAACCCGTCCCACAACAAGAAATGATAGCTCAATCTCAGCAAGAAATGATAGCTCAATCTCAGCAAGAATTGATAGCTCAATCTCAGCAAGAATTGATAGCTCAATCTCAGCAAGAAATGATGGTAACACCTCAGCAACAACAAATGACCTCTCAATTAAAATTCCAAGCAATGCAGCATTATCAACAACATCAACACAATCCAAGTTTTGGACAAGATCTGATGGCACATAATGATGGAGAGTCAGTAAATGAGAAAGGTGAATTAATTGGGAAATCTGGAAAGCCTTTAAGGAATACTAAAAGAGCAGCTCAGAATAGAAACGCACAGAAGGCATTTAGACAAAGAAAGGAAAAGTACATCAAAGACTTAGAATTTAAAGCTAAAGATTATGACAAATTAGCCATTGAGAATAAAATGTTAAAAGAAAAGGTGGAAGAATTACGAAAAATGATCAAGAGCCTTCAAGAAAAAAATGTCAAATGAATTGATTTCTAATTAATGAATAAAAAATTATAATGATAATTAAATTAAAAAGTAAGAAATGCATATAACCCAAAAGTTTCATATCAAATACAATAATAATTAATAGAAAATGAATGAATTTATTAGCATTGATATTATTATACAGATAACTCAAATTATAACATTATTTGAACTTAAAAAAATAGATTAGCTATGCTATTAATTCTATTTTTTAAGAAACATCAACCATAATAAATAATACCAAGAATAACAATGAGAACGATATTTTGTCAATATTTTGTCAATATGAGCATGTGGTCATTGAAAAATTTCTAAACTGTCAATGGATATGACTAGCTTAGTTGCTGTCTGACTACGTAGACTAAAATGATAAGTATTAAGATTAATAAGTCTTATTAAGAGAAAAATATAATAAAGAACTGTGTCTTTTCCTTAATCCGATTGGTTCCATTTCATTTACTGTCGCCTTATTTAATTTTAATTATAAACTGTGTGTGACAAACTAAACAAAAAAAAATAAAATATAAAGATGTCAAATAGCTCTCACACTTAGTAAAAGACTTATAAAGGAACCTGAAGTAGGTATTTGGAACTTGACTAAAAACACATATTGTTATTAAGTATAATCGATTTATATAGATAGTATAGATCCAAAAATTAGACATTTTGTAAATTAATGAATATTAACTCTGCATAAAACTTTCTAAACTTAGTGATGAGCTTGAGTTTGATTTTTTTTGTTTCTCTATATTTTTTTTATTTAACATGTTTGATAAAGAATTTTGTTTACGCTTTTTCTTTCTTTCTTTCGAATTATTATTGTTATAATTACTTCCATTATCCTTATTTTTAGCATTTTTATTCGGCCATTCAGCTATAAATGTGTTTTGGATATTTTCAATTTTATTAATTTGATCTTGTTCTGTTTTCTTATTAATAGAATATTTAAAACTTGAATTTTTACTGGCATTTAAAACATTGAATTTTATTTCACCTTCACTAACATTTCCATATTGACATTAATATGGGAAATTGAAAGATACACCCCTACCGCAAAATTTTTCATTTTGATGCAGTTATATTTGTTGGCAACACAACTTCATACCTTTTACAAGAATTATAAAAATTCTTTAAGTATACTCCAGATAGTTCAGGTATACCTAAATGTGGCACCATATGAACCAAATCATACTTTTTTCGTATTTGTCTATCTCTAAATTTTTCAAATTGATCTCTATTCATATTTTTTCTCAGAGTATCATAACTATTAGAAATCTAAAGACACACTATACAACTACAAATTACTAGATGATAAACAGCAACTCCTCTTATGAGTCGAATAATTAAATTTTTAACTAACGAACTAGTCAATTAATTAATTACTTGTAATATTATTATTATATAATAATAAAAATGAATTATGTAAATAGTAAATGATTTGTACTGTATATCTCAATGCAGAACATGCAGAATCCCTTGGAAACAAAAGGATACCTTACTAATCGGCGTATTATCAATATTTCACCTCTTTCAAGTGATGAATTCAATCGATAATCCTTTACATTCAGGTATTCTTATTTGCTTTAAAGTGTATTTAATTTCGAAAAATCATCTCATTTCTTCAAGAATGTAAAATTTCAATCTTTTTTTTCTTTATTTGCCTGAAGCGTAGGTAAAGAAACGGAGAGGAGTGAGGGTAAATTCGATAACGGTAATTAATATATAAAATGGCTGACGACGATGAGAATAGGTGTCAATGAGAATGATGATAATGAAGATGCAATTGATTAGAATTAGAAATTATTATAATGCTGTAGTTCATATTTTTTTCATGAAGAAGATGTTTTGAATTTTTTATTAGATATTTGATCATCTTCATTTATTAATTTTCTTTTAATTTGGTTCATATCTTCATCTAAAAGAGTTAAAGTGTGATCATCTTTACCAGTCGGTGTTGTTGGTGGAGTTTTCATTATACTTGATAAAGAGTGTTGTTGTTCCAGCAATTTCTTTTGTTTTCTTAATTCACTTGCTTCTCTTTTTAGCTGTCTTAATTTATCTATTTGTTCTTGTGTTTTGAAAAAATCTGGTATTTCTTTCTCTAAATATGAAACCCATGAATCACAGTCACTGCAAATCTGATAATCTATTGTCCCTGCCCATGCAGAATCCGCGAGTATTGTTTTGTTAATCAAAATAACCACACCTCCACGTTCATGAACTTGCTTGCTCATGTGTTTAACGAGTTTCTTAACACCATCAACTTTTAAACTTGTGCCCATAATAATTAAAAAATCAGGCTTACCCTTTGCAATATCATGACTTAATCCTTGTGCAATAAACTCCCCCGTTGGGTGATTCTCACCATAAAGTACAATATTAGGTCTTAAAAATCCCACTGAATCTATAGATCTTTTACCTTCTTGTAATCTCTTAAAATTTTTTTCTTCACAACTTGGACAACATGGCAGTTCACCTCTTCTAAATGATCTTGCACGAAATCGATTCCATTCAAATATTGTAAAACATTTTGTGCAAGCTAAGGTGTTTAAATCCCCATGAAGTTGAACAACGTTTAAATTTTTCCAAATTGAAGAAAATCCATTTGATCTTCTATTTTCATCATCTCTTGACATGATTAGACCTAGAGTTTCTTCAAGACCATCGATATTTTGAGTGTAACAACGTAACAGTTTATTTCTATTTTTCAAATGTGCAATGAATCTGTGTGTCTTTGTAGGTTTAGCCATTTGAACACTTGAATATAACTTTTCCATAAATGTAGCAAAGACTGAAATCTTAAGCTCATCTCTAAACAAAGAAATATCAAACATTTCTTGGCCTGACCTTATGGTCAATTCAGGAAATTGATTCTTAACTAAATCGTATAACCCATTAGATGATCTAAAATCAGGAATACCAGCATTACATGAAATACCAGCACCAGTGAGCACCGCAATTTTACGAGACCTATTTAACAATTTTGTAACGTTCGATAGAGTCTCATCACTAGAGTCTAATTGTGGGAAAGTCATTACCCTTTCAGTTTGTAGGTCTGCTCTTTGACTATAACTAAATGAAGGAGATCTACTCACTGTAGGGGAGGGAATATCAACCTCTCTAACTTCACGTTTGATCGGCACAGATTTCATATCGTAATAACAATTATTCTTCTTATCTTAAATGCACCCTGGTATATTTGGTTCTATGGTAAACTGGCTTAATTTTGATGAATTGGCACTCTCTTTCTATAAATATCTCCTTAGGAAGTAGTAAAAAAAAAATCGAAAAAAAATTCAAAATTCAAAATTAAATATTTTTCCTAATTTACTTGTATCAAAAACACATAAACTACCTTGACCTCGGAACTACTGAACTTCAAATCCTAACAGTATATCTTAGTGAAACAATCAACCTCTTGTAACTTCAATACCCTTAGTCCTGTCTTCCCTATAGAATCGACAACTAAAAATTTTCAAAATTATTGAAAAATATATTACCCAAATCCTTATATACCATTCAATTCCGAACGGTAATTCACAAATACTAAAAACCAATAACGAATATCAAAAACTTTAATTAAAAGATCATATACTTCACCCATCAACTTCAACTTAAAACATCTTTACTTCAATTGAGACGTTCTTTGCTAAAAGGTGAAATTTCTTGATAAATTTCACCTTTTAGCATCTTTTGCGTATTTATTGATGTTTTTCCGTATTGGGTAATATAACTAGAAATTACGTATGTAGGAGAAGGCAAGATGGGATTCAATACAGATGACAGACGACAGACATCTGAATTGAAAGTTGTGACATGAGTTTTGGACAGGATGGAGATTGTTTAGTGTTCTTGAATGTGTGTTTGTTGGTAGTGAGTGAGTTAATGGGTGGGTGGTATGGAAACTGGAAAATTGTTCGATGAACTGGGACTGAATTTGGATTACAAGCGATTTTATTAGATGTAGTTACGAAATAAAGAAGAGGAGCGTTTGATCCAACAGAATAGCATTGTCTTATAAATATAACTGGAGATATGCATGCTTGCATGCATTTACATAGAATTACATATTTGTTTGATAGCATTTTTTAGTTTAATTTTTTTTAATTTGTTTTTTAGGTGAGATGTATGATTCTTCAATACCAGGAAAAATCAATAACCAAATCCAAAAATGATATCAATGGGGGGAGTAAAAAAACACGAATAAAGGTAACAACGGAACATAATCAAACGAATATATATATATAACATTGAAGACAGAGAAAAACGACAGGAATAGAATACAACGTATAATAGAGGGAGTAAACAGAAAACGTTTTTTTTTTTTTGATTCTTTTATATTTTTAAATTCATGTTTGTAAAATTATCTTTGTATTACTGACATGGCTGTATTTTGAGAAATAAAACTGTGTGGCCAACCACTTTGGTCCAGAACTATTCAGCCTCTGCTGTTTACGGCAAGTTCCATAATCAACCTTGTCGCTAGACGTAAAAATGGGTATGCCGAATAGGCTCCCATTTCTTCATCGGAAATAGTGCTGTGTTGTAGAAGAGATCCATCACTGTATTCCCAACCATCAAATTTAAAATCTACCAAATAGTTATTAGTTTCTATTTGGAAAAGTTGGACAATCATCTTCATTACATCAGGCACATGTTCCAAATTAGTCACAGAACAACAGTCATACTTCCATCTCACCTTAATAGTCCACAATTCTTCTTCCGAAGGTTTTGCCCATTCTGCTCCTAATGTTTGTAATGCAGCATAGATTTCACTCATTACATCCAATGGATACGATCTTGATCTTATACCAAAATGCCACTTGGTTCTTGATTTTTTAGAAGGTGCACTTGGGGCATTTGATGGCGATACCAATCCTTGTGATATGACATTTGCTCTATGGATTTGAGGCAATGAAGTTGGAAGAATTGCAACCGTAGAGTCAGGAGTATTTTCCTCATCAGAAAATGTTCTAGGTAAATAGGTCCTTTGCTGATTGTCATCTTCTTTGATGAACCGATGTTTGGAAGAACTAATATAGATCGGTCTTTGAGAATCAGGATAACCTAGTGGATTATTAGATTTCTCCAGTTTTTCTTTCTTATTCATCATTTGAAATGAAGGTGGCGATTGTGCCAAAAATGTATCCAATTCATTACTCTTGGTCTTATCACATTGTAAATCTCTTATCAAGTTTTGGTTTTCTTTGATCAACAAATACGCCTCTTTAATTTCGTTATGACTTGGATTATCAGTTGATTTAGATTTAAGAGCCTCATGAATTTCTTCCTTTTCGTAATTCATAGTTTGAGATAAAATTGTTACTGCTTCATCGTCAATAGGTTCGTCATTGTCAATCTTACACTCTTTCTTTGGCTCATCCTCTTGTTTAGCGGTTTCATGAGATAACAAATAGGTAGGCAAATCTACTTTGAACCATTCATCTTGCATAATTTCACTAATGCTAATTCTGTTAATTGGGTTTACAATCAACATTTTTTTAATCAAACTAGCTGCTCCATCTGATAAGAAATTTGGCAATGTATAAATACCATTACTGATATTCTTGAATAGAATTGGAATGCTCTCGTCATCAAAAGGCAGACGACGACATAACATGACGTACAGGATAACACCACAAGACCAAACGTCAACTTCAGGACCTGCATAAAGTTTACCGCTAATAACTTCGGGGGCAGCATAATTTGGAGAACCACAAGAAGTCTTTAAGAAATTACCATCAGTCATAATGTTAGATAAACCGAAATCCGTAATCTTCACATTGTAATGCTCATCTAATAACAAATTTTCAGGTTTTAAATCTCTGTGAACAATCATATGTCTATGACAATAGTCTACTGCACTGATGATTTGTTGAAAGAATTTACGAGCTTCATTTTCACTCATCTTATCCCTTTGAACAATATAATCAAATAACTCATGGTGAGCATACTCGATAATCATAATGATCTCGTCTTTGGATTTGATCACATCGTATAGTCTAATGATATGAGGATGTCTCAGCAATCTAAGATATGCAATTTCTCTTTCTATTCTACCTTGCATATCACTTTTAGACAAAACCTTCCTATTAATAATCTTCAAAGCTACTTTCTGACCAGTAGTCACATGAAACGCCAACTTAACTTTACCAAATGAACCTTCACCTAAGGTCTTGACAATCTGATAGTTACCTATCCTTGACCCATCTGATAAAGCACGGCGACTGTGGTGTCGATGGTGATTATGGGACTTATGGGACCCACTACCATTACTGCTAGTACGACTAGTATGATGTTCTTCAGCACCCATTATTTGCTTCGAAAAATAAGATCAAAAAAAGGGACTATAATCTATAAACCAGATTAATAAACAACAGTCACAACAGCAAAATCAAAATAACTTACACCAACAATTACCAAATCAATTCAAGTACCTTTCCCCTCAAAACTTGAGTCCTCTCTTGGATTTATCTTCTTTTTATTTCTATTTTTTAACCTGTCTTTAATCCAGACAACTTAAAAAGTATCAGTATTACTGAAATAAACACTTGATTCCAACTAAAAACTGTATCAAGTATTACTTCCCATACACTATTAACCAAGAATGAAACCAACATAACCAAACTTAAACTAACTTATCTCTTAAAAGTAACTTAACTTTAATCAAAACCTTTTCAGTTTACGGCCAAACCTTTTTTTTTTTCTCCCCCCAATCCTTTAAGTTCTCGAACCTTTCTTTCCTTATGGGATATCCATGATTTCGAAATACAGTTTCGAAAGGATTAGTCTATATAAAAGGATGTTTAATTGGATTGGTTGTTGTTGGTTTGTTGGTCGACTGATATTCTAGACGATGAAGTTGGTCAATTTATGTAAGTTAGCTTAGAGATAAGTTGAAAAAAGAAGGGATAAATCAGGATTAATTGCCATGTCAAGCAGTGTTGTTCAATCTAAGATTGCTAAATTTAGTAGGGAACGTAAGTTTGCTATCGAAGATTTGTTATGTTATTATGGTAAGGTTAGCATTACTGATAAGGTTCTGAGGGCTCGATTGAGCGATTTCGATTTGAAATCTTTTACTATACGTTTCCATCACGTTGAGTTAGAGTCTGATGTCGATAAGATCATTGCGTTTGAGCCACCTTTAAACGAGGTTAATGAATTTGATGAGCGTATTAATGAGATGATCAAGATCGCAGCCAAGGCTAGAGGTCTGTCGGAGATTCAAGTTACTGAAACAGTCTACCCTACCAATTTATTGGAATATGCGATCATTGGTGGTGTAATGTTACCACCGTTGTGTTATCTGTATCGTCCCTTATTATATTTTCTTCCATTGCCATCAATTATCAAGAAAACGTTAGATAACGATAGATTGTTATTTATCATTACAGTTTTGGCGTTTTTCACTCATATAATCGAGAGTTTAGTGTTGTTGAGACCAAAATTGATTTATTACCGTGTCCCAATCGACCATGCAATTGAATGGTACTTCCTCGGTCTGTTAGAAGGTTATGCACCTGTGAAAAGATTAGAGGCATTGGCTCAAAAGATCCAAAAGCAAAAATGATATAACATGCTCAACCCAATCCATCCTGTATTGTTATACCACAACAACCATTTGGTGTCACTCTTGGGTGATTATTAAAATTATCACACATCAGGAGACCCTCCTCGTCCCCCACCCAACGAATATATATATATATATATTATATATAGTTGTACATACGACATGTATACCCTTATAGAACACGATCAACAACGACAACTGTCAGTGTCAGTGACACTGACACTGACACTGACACCACCTGCAACTGAATGGTTCTTACCATCCAATAACAAACAGTAGTGACGATTCGAACTGAAATGACCAACCCACCAGTTTAATTGGACATATTTCACCCACTCGCCTAAAAAACCACCGTACAAACCAACCATCTTTTCCATAATTTCGAAATCGAAAAAAGTCGAACTGAATGAACACTTTAAAGAAACCCACCAACGTCAATTGGTTAAGAACGTTGTCAATGGTAACAACGTTGACGTTTAAAGGTTTCTGTTCTGTTCTGTTCTGTTCTGTTCTGTTCTGTTCTGTTCTGATAAGTTGGGATCATTGCTTTAATGTATATATACCTCTACCTTCCTTGTTGCTGCTGTTGTTAGTTTACCATCACAGATATACATTCGAAATTCGTTCTTCCTTTTTTGATAAGATCACTATTAGTCGTTCGAACTATATCGAAAAGGTTTTGAGATATTTTGGTTAGTTTTAAAGTTTGTGAAGTACAAATACGTATATCCTAGGTTACTTTGGCACCAGAGAGGTATTACGATCATTTGCTCTTTTCAGATATTGATTGGTTGGTTCAAGTTAACTTCTTTTTTTCTTCTTCTGTCTGTGCTATTTAAGGAAAGGGAACTGATTTTTTGTTTCAATATAAGATAGATAGAAAGAGAGATATACTCTTCTTCAACTGTAAAATTATCGATCGGGACATACTAGGGTTAGACTGGACCAAGTTTGAAGTGAGTTGAATTCAATTTAGAACGGGGAAAAATGTCAGTGACAGTCCAGGAACAGGATAAAGTCTTAAGGAACTTGTATCGAAGACTGAAATTGTATGCTAGTGACGACGATGTTAATGAAAATTCTCATCTCGTTGTTAAGCCAAAACTAAAACCTTCTGTTTCATTTAATACCGTTCCTTCCTATGCTGGACGTTCCATCTTAGACGATAATCAAGAATTTGAAGGGGTCCATTTCCCAACCGATTATTCAATGGAAGAATTTTATGATAATGAAAGTGGTTATGCTACCGAATGTAATCAAGATTATTTTAATAAAAATCATTATATGGTGGATTCTGCTTCTCATAGGAAAAGGGGAAGTTCCCCTCCTCCTACCCCTGGTGGGAAATTATCAGCAAGTTCATTATCCCAAATGTTTAAAATTGCAGAAAATGGTAAAATCGTTAGAGTAGATTATCCAAGTAGACCTTCGATATCAAATGACGCTGTTATAGTCACTAGAGTTCAAGGTAATTGGGAAAAACTATGGAGTGAAAGGAAACATCAAATCGAGGAGAGAATACTTAATAAAAGAAAATATTTTAGTAAACCTGATGAGTTATTTCCAGAACAAAAATTTGTACCAATAATTAGCGATGATCTAATACCAAAGACTAGAGAACAAAGAAAAAAGGATAAAATCTTACAATTAAAAGTTGGTTATTCAAATTCTCCAAGAACATTGGTTTGTCATATCAGCGGGAGACGTCATACCTGGGTGGCTTTGGATTGGATGCTAAGAGAATTATCAGTCGATTTGGATCACATTGTAGTCATTACCAACTTACCTAGACTTCGTACTGATAAAGTAAGAAGCAGATCCAGAGAAAAATCATCAAGTCGTTCAGTCTCAGAATCGAAATCAAGATCTTGCAGCAGATGTCCTGACGCTGAGTGTGAAGATCTCAAAGATGAGGACTATGATATTTTCTCAAAGAGTAGTACAGAAAATAATGAATGGTGTAGTGGTTATGATAAACAGCATATCGAATTAGAAATTAAAAATATATTCAACTATATTAGAAAAATTACACCTCCTGAAAAAATTTTAAAAATTACTGTTGAATTACTTGTCGCAAAGACTTCCAAAATGTTTTGTGATATTGTAAACGTTTATACACCCGATTTCTTCGTTTCGAGTACATTGAGATGGAGCCAAACTGATAATTTGGTGGTTTGGAAATCTAAAAAGATCACCGACTCTCTATGTACGTGTTATCCGATCCCTGTATTTGTTGTCCCAGCGGAAAGAATGTATCATTTTGAAACTAATCTTCAGAACGAATTTGCAATTGGTAACATGGATAAATTGGCTAAACATTTGAAAGTCTCGAGTGCCAGCACAAGTACTGAAGAATTAGACGAAGATGATATTGAAACTGTATTAACTGCCAACGATGAAGTTAAATCAGTGTCACTAGGACAAAGATTGAAAGATTTAGCTCATGAAAATAGGACTCAGATGATGGACAGATTGACAGCTTTAATTTCAGGTAAAACTGCAGATGATACTAGTTCCAGCATATTGGAAAACAAATTTAATATTATTTTCAAAGAATCATTAAAATTTGCAGAAGAAATCAATAAATTAAAATGCGAAGATGAATCAGATACGGAATTTGAACAATTGAAAAGAGTTATCACAGGAGGTGCAGTCAGACCAGTTGTCTCCTCCAAAAAATCCATGTTAGATGTTGTTGATACGACAAATAAGAAAGCACACCATCATCACCATCATCATCATAAAGATCGCGAAATAGAACTCTCTAGGACTAACTCATCACAGATCAAGTTTGCAAGTAGCGTGAAAGTCGGTGATGGAAATGAAGCTCTAGGAAATTTAGGTGTATGCCGTACAATGTCTAATGTTGTGGAGAAGAGCCCCTCATCACCTACATCTGGTCTTTCTTTACGCCCTACAATGTCATATAGTATATCTTCGTCAACTAATAATGAGCCAATCAAAAAATGTACTAAAAAAGATAAAAACAATTTACGCAAAACCAAAAGTGCAAATAACGTCGAACCAGTGAAGTCAAACGATTCCTCATCTTCCACTGGTAAGAAAAAAGGTGGATTCTTCTCATTCTTCAAAAGAGGTTAAGCCATACTTCTTCTATTTATCATTGATCAACCAATTGGTTAACCAATTGATTAATCTATTTCAATTCTGAATTTTGCATGCCACCTTCTATGAGTAAATGTGAATGTATTATAGAAGAACATTTTATTTAAAATAATTTTAACGACTGCATTACCCTTATTTATTCTATACTTATATATAGCCCAAAAATATCCATTCCATTTACATTAATATAAGACTAACAATGTTTATATTCGATCACAATTTAGAATCTTGGTTATTTTTACTTTTACTGTCACAGAAGCAGAAGTTTATTCCTGATTTTATAAAACCGTTTGACATTGTTCGTAATCTGAAGTGATTACTGACAAGCTTGATAAAGGTTAAGGAAAATGAAGTGATCATCTTTAAAGATAATTTCAATAATTGTAGCAACTATAAAGAAACGAACCAAGTACTCTTATATAGATGTAGAGTAGTACTTGAAAACCTGGAAACAGACACCATTGTTGTCGTCTCCTTCCAGGAATAATTCAATTTTTGATAGCGAGATATTATGGATAACACTACAAGTATCACCAAGGGAGGGTAATCACTTCATCTTGGTACTGAAAATATCAAAATTCAATAACTTCAACACACATCTTGCTAAATTGACAAGGATGAGATGAGATGAGATACAAGAAGAGTCTCTATAATAAAAGGTAATTGTTTGATTAGTGTCTGAAAGACGTAGTATATTCTAGTGTAGAGTGCAATATTTTAATCATTTCATCTATACAGCCGGTTTTGAAGATGTCTGATAATTCTAAGCGGTCTAATAGAAAAGGTAAAGGGTTAGCGACAGAGACCAATCCATTGCTGTTATCGTCAAATTTAAATTTAGTGAAGGAACAACATAGGAATGTCAATCCATATCTGAGTACAAATAATCAGAGTCCTAATTCAAGTTATAGGAAAGTACATGAGAGATATCGGAAAGGTTTGAAGTTTTTTCAGAAAGGTGAGATTAGTGCTAAATATGAATTAGAGAGGAAAGTTAAAGCAGATGAGGAAGCCAGACAGCAAGAAGAAGATGAGAGAAAGAGGATAAAGGAGGAGGAAGAACAAGAAATACTTAAAGTTAAAGTTGCAAATGGAGAATTGCCCGATTTCAGTACTGGGGAAAATAAGTACTTGAAAGATTTGACAAACATCCCAACTGTGGAATGGTGGGATAAACCATACTTGGATGACAGACTAGAAATATTCGATAAATATAGAGTACCGTGTAGAGAAGGGGATAACACTGATGAGGAAGAAGAAGAGGATGAAGATTTTGATGAAAATATGAAACCTTCAATACGGTATGTTTTACATCCAATTCCAATTAAAGTCGATGAAGTCGTACCAGTATCGAAAGTCTATTTAACAAAGACAGAGATCAAGAAGGCACGTAGGAACAGAAGAAAGATTGAAAGAGAAGAACTGGAGACTAAAATAAAACTAGGAGTACTGCCTAAACCTGCTCCCAAGGTAAAGCTAGCTAATATGATGAGCGTTTATGAAAATAATCAGAATATTACAGATCCAACCTCTTGGGAAAAAACTGTAAGGAACCAAGTCGAAGAGAGGAAGAGGAAACATGAAGATATGAATCTTCAAAGGCATGAAGAAGCAATGAAATTGAAAAAGTCAAAGATGCAAGAAGTTTCTAATGTGGATAACACTAAAGGTAATAATTTTTGTAAAGTGTATTGGTTCAAGAGCATGAGTAATCCAAAGATTCGATTCAAAATAAACACAAATGGGAAACAACTTGATTTGAAAGGATTTTGTATAAGGATAGGAAATGAAGGTCCTGGATTGATAGTGTCTTCAGGTGATGAGAAATCGATCAAGTTTTTTGACAAGTTGATTACGAGAAGAATAAAATGGGATGAATCATATAAGGATAAAATACAGGACAAAGAAATTACAATCGAGGGAAACAACGCTATAAAGTTATGGGAAGGTAATATGAACAATGATAAATTTCGTAGGTTTTTCATGAAAGTATGTGAAAATGCTGATCAATTCAAGAAAACTTTGGAAGAATTTGATTGTGAATATTTATACAGTATGTTTTACAACCATTGAATAATGAATGGACGGATAAAATAATATTCATTTGAAATTTAAAATATTTATTATTATATTCCTCAATCATATATAATATATAAACGTCGATACATTTATAGAAATTGGCAAATGCATGAACAAATCAATATATTAAGGGATGTGATACAATTCGGGAATTTGGGATATATACATGTATTGTGTATTTGCAGTTTGTATTAGGAAATCAAACAAAATAAAAAGCTAAACTGGAGGGTCAAACAAATTGACCCAAATCAAATTGTTTGTTTGTTTGTTTTTTTGCTTATTCTCTTCTTGAAATCCTTAAGCATCGTTGATCTTTGCCAAGATTTCAGAATCTCTGAACAAGATAACTTCTTCATCACCACTCAATTTAATAGCAGAACCACCAAATTGTGGAATCAAAACTTGATCACCAACCTTTACTTGAGGAGTGACTTTGTTACCATTAGAATCAGTGAAACCTGGACCAACAGCCAAGACCTGAGCTTGGTTCAACTTTTCAACATTTTTTTCAGGTAAATACAAACCTGAAGCAGTCTTTGCTTGAGCTTTGACTCTTTGAACCAATACACGGTCCATTAAAGGAACAATAGACTTGGCAGATTTCAAAATAGTAGACATAATTAAGTAATAGAGAAATAAAAAGCACTAGACGTTACGTGACTTGACCTGTAGTATTTGATAGTCCCCAAAATGAATAGATAATTAGATAGATACAATCTCCAATCAGTAGTGAAAAAAGTTTTGAAGTTTCTTGGTTTTTAAAGGTCAAGTTTCCCACTTTCTAATGTCAACTTAAAGGCTTTTTCCGGAAGTCGCAAGAATATATGGAAAATGGAAACATCAAGAGACTGGTCAGTTGTGATGGTAAGACGACTACGTGTGTCATGATTGGACCAGAGGGTATATCGATATAAATTGATCAGTTAAGGTGTGATTTTAATGAAACAAGAGTAGTTTATCAGTACAATTGATTTCTTTATGTTAGAACAAAGCTCAATTAATAAGGAACACTGTATTTTATTTTTGGATTGACCAATTAATTGATGGATTGATTGACTAATTAATGGATTGATTCATATAAACGTCGCTTCTCACGTTCTTATTGGACTGATTCAATGGATTCCAGATTCGTCTATTAGCAAGGCTTCGATACTAATAGCAACTATAAGATCAAGGCTTCTTATTCAATTACATAAATATGTATATCTGTATCTGTCTAGATATATATGTAAATATAGATAATTCTTATTTCTAATCAAGGTAAGAAACAATGGGTGGTGCAGTTTATAGAATATTTGGGAAACAGGTCCAATCGCATTATTTAGCTATTGGGACCTTAGGGAGTTTAGCAGCAGTTGGTGTTGCAATGAGTGTTGGTAAAAAAACAGATACCAAACCAATGGCCAACACTAGTGATTCGAACTCGAGTAATGGTGATATCGATGTAGAGGCAATGATTTCAAAGTATTTGAAAGATGAGGATAAAGAGTGAACATTATAAATTTCACTTGATTCAATTAAGTTCAATTATATTATATTATATTATATATTCTAAATAAAATATATAGATGACATTTCAATACATGTATGTACGTTTGGATTTATGTTTATGTTTGTGTGTTCCTCTTGTTTTGGTTTAAAGATTACAATAAATCGTCAAGACTTTGTTCTGAATCCTTTTTAATCAACTCTAACATACCCTTTGGCAGGATAGGTTTACCTTCAGCATCTAAAACGTATCTAAATGGCATTTCAGTAGCTTCTTTTTTACTGAACCTGAATTCTGGGTAATCGATGAACTTGATGGATTCCAACGGTTTACCAGATTCAATAATCAATTGAGTAGTTCTAATTGCAGTATCAGTAGTCATTTGTTTATCACCTAATCTTCTACCTGAAACTAAATCAGGATACAATTCTTTAATTTCTTTAGTTCTGTCTCTTGGAGGGTGATCACCTAAGATACCACCAAAGATAAAGAATTCGAATTTGTTTGTATCTTCAGGAACTAAATCAGTGGTAGCATGAGGGTCTAAAAGACAACAATTACCATTGCCCATTGGTGGTAGATTTGGGAAAGAATTATGCAAATTTTTCAAATCATCACAACTCCATTGTAAACCCAAATCCAATAGCAATTGAGGAATATCACTAGTTGTTGTACCCTTTGGTAAAGAAGACAAGATTAACTTATCAGAGCCAATATCTCTTAAAATTTGTGCATATTCTAAAGTAACCCATTCACTGAACCCTTGTTCCATATGCTCGATGATATAAATCATAATGTACAAATAATAAACTATAACCCTATTGCGATGGAATCCAACTTCGTCGTATTGTTTCTCAATTTCACATAATATATGTATCATTCGATGTGTACTGTCTTAAAATCATTAACCACTTCTTACAAGTTCAGCTCATCGCATCGATTTCAATAATGGTTATTATTGCTGGATTCTCTGATAAATTTTCCATTATGGGTGGGGGGGGGACAACCCGACGACAGTGACTGTAATGAATAAAAAACAGTATGTGACAAGACCAAACGAGAGAAGAGTATTTAATGATAAAACAAGAGTGGAGTGAAAGTATGATTTTATCAATTATACCTTTGTGATTTAAGTTGAAATCAATTATCCATCTTGGATTGATTGGTTAGTCCATTTATGAAGAGAGTCCAAAACTTTCGGTTTGTTCAAATAGGTATTACTTACAATAGACGTGTATGTATGTTAAATTCGAAAGAGTATGTGTTGAATGGTTACCCAAGTGTTAACTGGATTAGAAATAATTTAAAAGGTTTGCAAAAGTATATGTATTAAGCTATTAGTAAAGCAATTGAATGTACAAGTACAAGACATGTGTGTTACTAAAGGAGAATAGTGTTCTGAGATGGGAACGGGGACAATTGAATTTCCAACAGATATAAATAGGGGAAACACAGTAATGTAAGCAATCTGCTTATCTTATAACTAGCAGGCCCTATTAATCCCTTAATAACTGTTCTTGCCATGCCAAATTGGTTCAGTCTGAAACAAGCATGAAGTTCTATACCTAACCTATTGCTAACTATAAGAAAGCAAGCAAGCAAGCACCAGTAAAGGTTACCCTACCGTCCTGTTGCTGAAACTAGTTCGTACACACTGATCTTCAATTCCCACGTGACACTTACCACACGTGACCACTGCCCCCTCGCCCTCGCCCTCCGCTGCCTCCTCCGCTGTTTCCCCTTCAAGGGAACAAAATTTTCGAATTCGAACTGAAAAATTTCAGAGCCAACGGTAACGAACGACCGAACATGTTTTTTTTAAAAGATATATAAACAAACAACAATGACGATAATGACAACGATGGCCTTGATGCCAAATGGCGATGCCAATGGGACACACATACTTATATATAATATTTATACTTGGTCTTTGGAATTGTGGTTGATCCTTAACTTGGAATTCATCTATCATCGAAGGAAAAATTTAAAATTGAATGTGTTAGTATTTGAGTTTCTACTTGAATTCATTCAATTAATAACTGGAATCGAGAAAAAATATTATTTGTAAAAAAAAATACACGTTCCTTCTTCTCCCTCCCATCTCACCCAAAGATAACAGGTATCAAGACAAAGTAAGCCACAGGGAATACACACCTAAATATATATACAAATAGAGATTGATAGATAGATTGACCGTTGCAATGGCTGGCGAAATGGAAGACGTGACGTTGCCAAGAGCTACTGTTCAAAAAATTATCTCTGAAATATTGGATCCAGAATTTAGTTTCAGTAAAGAAGCTAGAGACATGCTGATTAAGAGTGGGATTGAATTCATTATGATGTTGTCTTCAATGGCTTCGGAAATGGCAGAAAACGAAGCTAAGAAAACAATCGCTTCTGAACATGTCATACAAGCTTTACAAGAATTGGAATTCAACGAATTCGTACCTTTTTTACAAAAAATATTGGTAGAATTTAAAGGTTCTCAAAAAGTTAAAGAACGTAGAGATTCAAAATTTAAAAATTCAGGTTTGTCAGAAGAAGAACTACTACGACAACAAGAAGAACTATTCAGACAATCTCGTTCAAAGTTAAACCAAAAATAATAATCCTTACATCCCATCTATTTGCATATATATACACTTAGTATAATATATAGTATAATATATCATATTATACTATATTATTTCATATAATTATATCTATATATCTATATATAATTTAATTTATATTTAAATTAAAAGTATAATTAATTGTTCTAAAACAATGCATATATATATATATTCTTCCGATTTAGAAAATGTACTCAGACCTATTTAACCATCTCTTTCATGAATTGAAGGTCTAAAGAAAACTATCGTAGCTTTGCAGCTAATCACTAACCAAGGAACACATAATGTCGTGGTGGTTATGTTCAATAGCTCTAATCCATGTGTTTTCTCATTCTTATATACATCCTGATGAGCATTTCCAAAGTTTAGAAATCATATCTCATCTATTGCAATCTACAACGGGTTTTACACCATGGGAATTCAATTCGTATCCCCCTTCGAGAAGTATGATTCCATTGTACATGTTATATGTACCATTGTTCAAAATTTCCAATTTATTAAGCATTTCAAATCCTTTTTTTATCTTATATTCAATACGGTTCATACTTATTTTATCCTATCTCATAATCTTAAATTATTGTTTACCAGTATTATTACCAGATAAAGCGAAATCTAGAATTGCAAAATGGCTTGTATTGACTTCATATGTTACTTGGTCTTTCCAATGTCATACTTTTTCAAATTCAGTTGAAACTTGTCTATTACTATTAGTATTATCAATATATTCAAGAATTTTGCAAAATAATTCAGGAAAAAACTATACAAATTCAATTATTGTAGGGTTCTTTATCACAATCTCAATATTCAATAGAATTACATTCCCTGCCTTTATATTGTTCCCTTCATTGACGTTGTTAAGGAAATTTTATATAAACAATTGGTTACCTTTATTGTCATTGTTATCTTCAATTACCGTCACTTCAATAATTTTAATATGCATAGATACACAGGTATTCCAATCAAATGAATTGGTAATTGCCCCATGGAATAATCTAATTTATAACTTGAATGTCGATAACTTGGCATTACATGGTTTGCATCCAAGATATACCCATATGTTGATAAACTTACCTCAATTACTAGGGCCATTGATAATTCCATTTGTTTTTGTAATTCTTTCATCTTTAACTTTGATTCTAACTGATATTAATGTAGGTTCATTAACCTCTGGGTTACTATTCCTTTCTATTTTGAAACATCAAGAATTAAGGTTTTTAGTACCATTGTTTCCAATTGCTTGTATAGCGGTTACAGAATCAAGACCTAAACTACTTCAAGTTAAATGGTTCAAATATCTATGGATTGCATTTAATTTGGTGCTGTTAGTGATCCTTGGTTGGTTTCATCAATCTGGGGTATTAAACGTTATAAATTACTTATACAAGAATAATGAAACTACAAATTTTGGTGTCAATATTTGGTGGAAAACTTACACACCACCTACTTGGATGTACTCGTCAACAGAATTGATATATTCTACTGTAACAATGGAAAATGGCATAGAAATCTTAGAAACCGATTATCAACGAACTACAAATCATGTAATTGATTTAAAGGGGAGCGATGTTTCATTGTTAAATAGCACAATATCATCATTTTTACAGAATATTGGTACAGTTCAAATTATTTGTCCAAATTCGATGAAGAACACATTACTATCTCTAAATTCCGAGTCACAGATATATCAGTATGATCAAATTTACAATGATTTTACTCATTTAGATTTAGATCATTTTAACAGCCAAGATCTAAATAGCTATCTTCCTGGGATACATATATATAACGTATCGTATTCACATCGTGATCAATAATTATCAACATTTATATAAGACGCATAGTTTTTATAATTGATGGTTTATGTAGTAATATCATCTCATCTCATTTTATCTTATTATAGCCATTTTGGTATCTTTACGTGTTTCGCGTCTTTTCTTCATCTTTAGAGTTTAAAACTATAAATCAACTATATATGACAAAATATATATATTATATATTTAATGTAATTAAAATTAGTTCAGGAACAGAGGTAAAGAAAGGTTTGGTGGTTATTAAGCGGTATTCATACTAACCACAGTTGGTTGATAGTTACGTCCTTGAAGGTTATAGTTGTCCTGATGAAGAAAGCTGTGAACTTGAGGGAGCTTTTAAATGGTAATACTAAAAAGCCTTCCAATGACAATGAAGGTGTCGAGGATCAAACCGTAAGTTTTATAGATGATTCGGAAATCACTTCAAATGATTCGATCAATATATCTTTAGAACAATCCTCTCCTTTAATTAAATCAAGTCAAGTTTCTCCAGTTCTACACGGCGAGAACTTACAATCAATGAAAGACTTTTTAATGAATAAAAAGAATAATAATGAGAATAAAAAACAAGACAAGGACAAAAACATTGAAGTCATTTTATTGGAACCTGAAGATGGACCTGAAGTAGATGTGATGGACATTGACAATGAATCTGACAACAGTAGTCTTCAAAATTTGACAAACCCTAAAAGGTTAGCTGATCCGCCGATGTATAAAAAAACAAAGCTTACTGACATATTGGCAGGACCTAAAAAGGCTATCAGCATATCAGACAAAGTCCAACCAGTAAATATTAAAAATAACTCAACTTCAAATAATTCAACTTCAAATAATTCAACTTCAAATAATTCAACTTCAAATAATTCAATGAAAAAGTTATCATCAGCTCAAATTTTCTTGATGAATAATAGAAATTCATCTAGCTCAAAGGATAAAAGTAAAATCGAATTATTAGAAACACCATTACCTCTAATTCAACTAACCATACCTGATAACGATTTTGATAATGGATTGAACGATGATATTATACTGCCACTGTGTAGAATTCCACAGAAAGTAAAACCCACATTTTTATTTCAAGAGAATGATTATAAATCAATTAATCAATCTACCCAGGAAACGAGCTTCAAACAAGTAGAAAAAGTCGAAATATTAGAATCACCATTAGAAGATACTGCTATTTATAATAAAATACACACCATTTGGCCAGATTTTTTTAAACCCCAATTATTAAAAGAGGTTTTACTTGAACCAAAAATAAAATCTGATATCCAAAGTTGGTTAGCAAAGGCTTTCGAAATGCTTAAAAAGAATACCACAAGAAATAAACTATCAAAAACGCAAAAATCAGAAGATAAAGATCTGGCTAACTTCATTGTATTCGATGATTTATTGGACGATAATCCTAATGAAGTGGAAGAATTTGTCCCATTAATGATATTGCATGGAAACGCTGTTGGTAAAAATACTTTATTAAAAATAATAATGGATTCTCTGAATGGTCAAATATATGAAGTAAATACTTCAACTAACAGGGCAAAAAAAGATATCCTTGATACGCTATTAGAATTTTCAACAAGTCACTATGTCAAAGCAAAAGGTTCAAAAGGGTTGATACTCTTAGATGATGTTGATGTCCTATTCAAAGAGCATGATAAATTTTTCTGGCAGGGTATAGAAAAGCTCCTAAAATATTCACGAAGACCGGTCGTTTTAACATGTAGGGATCTAGACTTCATTCCCACCAATTTAATAGATATAGCTATGGAAGAAAATAGTTGCTTCCAGTTGAAAAGAGTTTCTCACAATACAGTAGTTAAAACATTAGAGCGACTTGGTCTAAAAGTTGGATTCTCGATTAATAACTCTGTCCTTGAATCGATAGTAAGGAAAAACAAAAACGACATCAGGAAGTGTCTAATGGATTTACAATTTTATTTGGTATCTCCAGCTTCCTATTATCTAGAAAATCAAAAAATTGATAATGACGCTGAAGCAGCTAATAACTTAGTTTATTTTTCAGATAGAAGTGATCTTTCATCAATTTCCGACGTTCTTGAATCCACAATACGATTTAAATCTGCAATCAAGGAAGGATTTGATAATACTTTAATGACATCTGATGCAATATATTTGAATAAGAATTCAATTGATGATCAGCAAAAATGGAAAAATGATTATATGATTGATTATAGAGTTCATTTAAAAGATGACATAAAAACCGAATTAAAGGACTTCGAATTAAATATTGGAGGATATTTAAATAAATACTTGAGCATAAAAAATAAGAAACTAGTTACTAAGAATTGTCCTAGTAATAAGTTTAAAAGCATTTTGACATCAACTGTCTCATTTTTGAATACAAGACGTGCATTTACTAGTAGAAATTTTGAAACCACAACAAGAAGGACAAGAAATTCAAATTTGAAGAAAATGCAAGATATTCTTGTTGGATTCAATCCAGAAAACAACCCACCAAGTTTTAATGACACAACAAATCTGGATTTTTCATTATCAACTAAGAAAAATATATCAACATATACCAACCCATACGTGTTGTCTATTGCAACTAGTGAGGAAAAATCTAGATTGTATAATAGACAGTTGTTCGTAAATGCTATTGCAGGTTTTCCAGAAAGCAGATATTCTGAGATATATAATAAAATAGTATTGGAAGGGCATTTTAAACAAAACTTTTTTGAAGCTGATCCAAAGATCGTAATAAAAAGCTGGGGTGACAGCCTTATAAATAAACAATGATAGACTTGCATACTAGTGTACGTATTCTGTATACCAATCAAATTCACATATATAAAAAACTGGATTTTTAAATAAAATATTCTACTGCATTGAATTCAAATTTTTATCTGGTGTATAGTATGGTGTCACCAACTTTACTTGTTAATAATCTACTAATATCATTGTAAGAGAACAATGCATTTAATTTTTTAATTTGATAACAGTCCTATATATAAGATCCTTAAACTATAGATACGATAAATGAATAGAAACCATAAACAGATAGATGTTAGTTATTTGCTTGATACTTTTTCATTATCGTATACTTCATTTTTCAAATATACATTGACTATTACAGTCTGGATAATTTCGTCCTCTTTACTACTATGACAATTAGTTTTCTTGTATTAAATTAATTTAATGGAATATTATCACTAAATAATAAAATGGTATTTATTTTAGTAATTTTGCATTATTTTATTTTCGATATTGCCTTTAGAAATATTACTGTCACACAAAGTGATAATTATAAAAACCTCATAGTATTGAACTGAGGTTTGAATGGCAAATGAAGCTTATTTCCATTAGGACAAATTTCTGATTAAATAATTTAAATATCAAGAAACTATATGTTATAATTAGTTTAGCCCTCATGAAGATTGGACTCATTATCCTTGATGAAATTTTTTGTGCCTGTCATTGATATATATTGAAGCTAATTTTATGAAGTATTAATTATATAATAACTAATTCCATTCTGAAGATGTCAGAATTTGATTTTCTAGACTGTTTCGTTCTATGTTTCATATACATATTTCTAACTTTTAAAACTGAAATGTTTAATCAATATTAGCGAAATTGCATCTATAAGAGTGTCTGGCCAGAGATTTATCTATACTAACGAATTAATATAATCATGCAAAAAAGACTAAAAATATTCCAATCGATTATAAAGATTACTGACATTGTTCAACAATTCTATTTATTATCTAATTGTATATTTATATTTCTGGTAGAAGTCAATCATCAAATGATGGTTGAACTTAACAGTTTGTTGAAGGTCGATAAATCCTATCAACCTCAATCTCCCAGCGCAACTCAACTGGGTTTAATCTAAAATTATTTAATAATGGTTAATATTGAATATTAATTTATTATTGGCCTAAAATAATGAAGTAGAGAAATTGTTTTGTGAAGAATTGTTATATATATTTAACATAAATTCTATACTATTATAAGAATGTATATATATGATTTATTTTTAATTAATAGTTGATTTGTGTTTTTATTTTCATTATCATAGTAAGTATCTTTAAAACTCATTAACAGCTGATGACAGTAAAGAAAGGTAATAAGTCGGTTCAAGAATTTAAAAATTTTCTTTTAATTGTTCATAATACTTCGAAGGTCCTTTAGTTCATAAGATGCGTCATAAAATATTTTTAATATCATTGTTCATAATACAAATCTTTAAAGTATAATCTACAATTTTGCATTCAAATATGATTGGTACAATTCCCAAGTGGTACCAATTTTTGGATCACTGACATAAACAAATGTTACACCATGATGTTCAACATCTCTATTTCTACTTTCATCGTCGAATAAACAAATATCCAATGTTTTCAAATTTTCATGTCCATATAAACCCTTAACTGCATCACGCAAATGACCTACTTTTCTTCTTTCCCCCATTCCAAAAAAATCAATAAGGCTGATTAAAGGTATAACTTCACCATCATGTTCTACCATAAATAATCCCAGCATTTCTTTTGCAATCTCAGGTGCCCAAGTTCTTGATGCAGAAACAATTTTTGAACCATTTAATTTTAAATCTGATAAAATTTTTGGAACATCTTGATAAAAACCTATCTCATAACCACAACTGTCCACTAGCTTGTGAACCTCACCGTTTGAGTTCTTTACTTGTTTAAATGGAGGACTGATATGGGTATCACAGTAACATGGCCAAACAGTGTAATCTAAATCGAAAGCAGCAATATCAGGATATGAAGACATCTTTATAAGTATATATTATCCAATATATACTCAATTTGAACTTGAAATGATTGGTGTAATCCTTCTTAAATTATATGATATACCTTACACTTTTCAAAGGACATTATTATCAAGATCTTGATCTATATCTTGTAATTTTTCAATATCTTTTGATTCGGTTTTGAGATGGGTTCTCCGATGACATAATTAATTAATAATGATGGTTGATTTAAACATATATAATTAATGGCATTTGAATGGTTTGGACTCTTTAAACTGGACAAACATATTGAAATGAAACAGCTGTATTATATTTTTATTCTTTAAATTAGTTGATTAATTATATTGAATTAAACTTTTGAAAAGCCTTTCGCTCATCCAAATGAAAACGATGAAGAAGAAGAACAGGTATTTATAAATAAACTTTAAACAAATAATTTGAATTAAATGGAGCTAAATTACAGATTAATATATATAACTACGTATAATAAAGTAGTGAAGTTGATACACCAATAAAGTCATGTTTGAAAATCCTCAAGAAATATGAAGATGAAAGACTCTAAATAAAATTTTCTATATCAACTATTCCAATTAATTTGTTGTGATGATAATTTAATTTCTTATTCTGAATGATCTTGATAATGTAATTGCAATTACTCAATTTAATGGAATATAAATATTCTTATATTTGGCATTGGTGAAAATAAAATTACTTTCGCTAATATACGGTACTGTAATAACTCGAATTTTAAATAAATGTCATACAGAAATGTAACAAAATGAAGGGAAAACTGGGATTGAAGTAAAAAGGAGATTTAAAAAAAAATGGAATCAAAACATAGAAGGAGGTAGAAATAAAAATAAAGATATAAGAGTCGACATCAATTAATAAGCAGATACCATCTTACTATTTAGTTAATATCTTTTAGTATATTATGCTCAACAATAAAACCTGACAAAATCAATTGACGCCTTCTTCCATAATCATACAATAATAACCTCTTAAGATATAGTAATAGTAATAACAATAATAAAATGTTGGCATAATTATTGAATTCATTTGCTTTATAATATAAAAAAATAATTAGGATAAGTATCTTGAGATATATTCATTACTCTTTGTAACTGACAGAAGACGGATGGATAAAGTAAAGTAACATAAAATAAAACTGTAATAATATTAATTTGATAATTATAATAAAATCAGGAAAAAAGAAGATATAAAAATTAACGAGATCATTTATTGTAGCATAATTTGTTGGTATAACGGCTATGATTGATGCCAATAAATTGTAGATGACGATAACAAAAACACACAAATCTTGAATACCCAAATAGGAGCAAGCTTAGTACTTTATTTACAGTTTGATAATAAATCCATTAGGTATTCATTTACTTTTAATATTTCCCTGCTATAAATGATTTAAGACAATACGGAAAAAATCATAAAGTGAGAAGGGAAATATACAATTATATATATATGTTAGAGTTTCGTTTCTGATGGCGATCTAATATAACTTTGATACCAACAACATAAAAATGAAACGAAGGGATTTTTTTAAAATCTAATCCTGATTTTATAAAATTATGTTCATTACCATTGATGAAACGGAATCGAGAAGTTTAATTGAAGATGGTAAATTAATATTTTTTTTTATTTTATGACGTCTAATGTATACGTGTATGATTGTTGTATGAATTACAAACAAATAATAGAAAAAAGAAGATAATAACTTAAATTATTAGTAAAAAATGAAGGAAGTGTGAGGTAGGATAAAACAATAATATAGTTTCCTTTAAAATGATAATTGGGTGGGCTAAATTGAAAATTAAATTGCTGGAATTAATTTATTTTTATGATCCTTCTAATGAATAGATTATTTCTTCTTTCTACCTTGTTGTCTTGGTAAACTTTTTTGAGCTGGTTTTAAAATTTGGAAAGAACACAATAGAGATTCATCCACACTCATCATTGCACCTGCATTATCAAATTCACCACAATAGTTTGGAGCACTAAACAGGGTTACCAATTGTCTTTTACTGAAGAATTCATAACCATCTTCGACAACTTGATGCGCTCTACAAATCAATTCCATATCTTGTTTCTGTAAGAATCTATTAACGACATCAGGACCAAAAGTGAAGGAGACACCTCTATCATTTTCACTCCAACCGACTATATCTTTATCAGGATCTGACCATAAAAGATCACATAATAGACCGACATCAGGTATATCGGTTGGTCTCATAACTCTTCTAATTTGTTCCATACTATTTAAATCTGGGGATAAACCACCGTGCATACAGAAGATTTTTTCATCGATGATGGCGGCGATAGGCAAACAATTGAAACAATCTGTGAAAGTTTTCCAAAGTTTAATATTGTAACGTCTTTTACATTCATCATAAAACCCATAAATTCTATTAATGGAGGCACATTCGTGATTACCTCTTAAGATGAAGAAATTTTCAGGATATTTAATTTTATAAGCCAACAATAAACAAATAGTCTCTAGAGATTGTTTACCACGATCGACGTAATCACCCAAGAATAAGTAGTTTGATTCTGGAGGGAATCCACCATATTCGAATAGACGTAATAAATCATAATATTGACCGTGAATATCACCACATATCTGTAACAAATAGGGAAGGGGGGTAAAAATTGAAAGTTGTTAGTAAAATGAGTTCGATTGAAATAGGTGTTGAGTGTGAAGTTGGAATAGGATAGATAGTTTGAGCATGATCTTGCTGAGGGTTCTAGATATAAGTTTGGTATCAGTGATCTAGAAAGGGGCAAAAAAAAAATTTTTTTCTGATTTTTTTTCCATCTTTCAAAAATTCCAAAACAAAAAAATGGGCTATTCTATCTATCTATTGGAAAACAGGACACACATAATACAGGGAGATAAAATGAAATAAAATAGAGTATACATACTTTAATTGGGGCTTCTAGTTCTAGTAAAATAGGTTGTTTTATAAATATTGATCTTGCCTTTGAGCAAAGGAATCTAATTTCATGTTCTTGCAAATCCACTTGCTGGCCAGGTTTTGAACCTCTAACCTCTAGTAATCTATCAATGATATTATCTATATCCACAGCAGAAGTCTCCATAACCACAATAATATATATATAAGTTTATGATTGATTGATGATGACGGGGGGTGTTATTCTTGTTCTTATTCGTTTTTGAATTTGAATTTGAATTTAGTTTTGTTTTTGTTGCTGTTATTACCAATTACTTTATTTGTCTTTTCAGTTGATGTGAATCGATAGGGAAGGCGAGAGTATTTGTAATATAGTGCAGTGTAGTGTAGTGTAATGTTAAACAAAACCTTCTTTATTTAGTATGCGACCAATATCTTATACCTTGAGTGATGCAGAGAAGAGAAAAAAAAAATTTTTTTATTTTAATTTAAATTCAAATTTTTTTTTTGCAAAAGTAATTCTCCTGTATCTTTAAAATATAAAAACTAATCAAACAAACTATAGTAAAATAATATAAAATCAAATCAAATAGAATGGAAAACCAGTTTGGGTGTTTAATTCTAAATTCTAAATTCCAAGTATCCAAAGTTAAGAAAAAAACAAAAAAAAATAAAAAAAGAGACTAAATAAAATAGACTAAAAAAAGTATATTCAAAATAGAGATGGAAGGGGGGGGGGGGATAAGGGCTTTGATGAAATATATTCCTGGACGAGTATGTAATGGAATAGAATGGGATAGAATATAGTATAGTATAGTATAGTATAGTATAGTATAGTATAGTATAGTATAGTATAGTATAGTATAGTATAGATATAAATACAAGTGTAAATGTAAATATAGTATAGTATAATTGAATATAGGATGGGGGAATAAGAGTATACAGGAACTAAAGTAAAGTAAACTGAACTGAAAGTAAAAGTGAAAGTTGAACTGAACTAAAGTAAAGTGAAAGTGTATATAACTCGATCGAAAATATAATGAAAACCCAGAACGATTAGAATCTCGTTGCTGCTCGATACAAATAGAGAGAGAGTGCGTTTGCTTGCAAAAAGTACAATACAATACAATACAATACAATAATACAAGATAATTAATTATCAGTCCAGTTGATCCTCTTTCTTTTAATTTAAATTTTTTATGTTTTTTTTTCTTGCTTGTCTGATTGATTAGTAACTAGTAACTAAAAAATTTGTATTTGTATTTGAAAACGGAAGTGGAAGTGGAAGTGGGAGTGGAACCAGAGGCAGACCAGAACTGGACAACAGAAAGAAAACCACTAAAGACGAGACGAGACGAGACGAAGGCGAAATGGACCAAACAGAAAGGAATAGGAAAAGGAAAAGGGAGAAGAACAAGAAGAAGAGGGAAATTAATCAGAAAATAAACAACAACTTTTTCTGACAGTGGCAAACCAGACAAAAGAAAGGTGGAAGGTAGGGTAAATGTATGGTCCGTGGACATTGGCAATACGATAGAGTATTATAAGACAGTGAGTGAGCTTACGGAGTGTCGATTTCAATTTCCTCTCATCATACGTACCATAATTGCAAATGACGAGAGAGACTCTGGACAGCCGGGTAAACCATGCAATATACTCTTGCTGACACTGACACTGACACTGCTCTGCTCTGCTCTGGCTAGGAAAACAAACAGGGACAGAGTGAGATATCATATCTAGTTGTGATTGAAGAAAGAAAGATGGAACACAATTGTTCTTGTTCTTGTTCTTGTTCTTGTTCTTGTTCTGGTTTATTACTAATAGGTCTCTTGTTTGGCTTGACAGACACCGAAAGAGACAATTTATGGTCGGTGGCAAAACACAAGGGGACGGGAGCAGCAGGAGGCCAAGACACTTCAATGCACTGCATTGAAGTGCATTGAAGTGCAGTGCAGTACAGTACAGTACAGTACAGCGAGAGATGGGAATAAACAAAACAAAAAATAAAACAGCGATGTCTCTTGTCGTGTTGAACGAGTCCTTTCTGAAGGAGGGTAACCTCTATGGTACATTTGTATGTGGGGCCGAGAGCGGTCTCAATCACAGAGAGACGAGATAAGATAAGAACACAAGAGCCAAGCGAAACCGGAGTGGTGTGGTGTGGTGTGATGCGGTGCTTCCCACCATGTCCTCTCCATTGCTCGGCACTATGGCAGGGTAACATTCAGTTGTTTTCTTCCTCCCTTTCCTCCCAAGCTGCCTCTCTCTCTTGCTCGTGCCGTTGTTGTATTATGTTGTTTTTTTTTGGGATGATTGTGTGTCATGACTAACGAACGTCTAGTGTATAGTATAGAGAAAAAGGGTTGGAGATTTTTGCTTGGTGTTTGTTGTAGGTGTCTGTTTGTGGTATCATTTTGTACTTCTTTGTTGTGTTGTTGTGTTTTCTTTTAATCTAAATGGCTGTTATTAATCACCGATTCTGTTCTGTTTGGTGTTTTAATCTCTTTAATCCAAATATTTGATTTGTATTCTCTCTCTCATTCTCTGGGCTGGATGCCGATTTGTCATGAGACCATAACATAACATAACTCAAGGTGAATACAAAATCAATATACCTATATATCCATAACTATACCTTATTGATTATCTCTTAGTTTGTCTGGATTTCTATTATTTTTTTTTTTTTTTTTTTTATTTGAGCTTTTGAGCTTTTGTGTCCTTCAATAACAGTTATATTATATTAATTTTGTGTTTTTGTGTTTTTGTGTTTTTGTGTTGTTGTGTCTATTTTATATATTGCAAATCATCATTTAGAGTTCAACAACATAATATATAATAAACATATACACACAAACACACATATATATTTAAATAGTCTATCTCACTCTCATCATACTCTGCAGCTTCACATCCTATACACATCTGGCCTCTGATTACTAGTTATAGATAGACACCATGTTTGTATTGCAACCGTCTCATTCGGTCTGTTATGATCTATCTTTACCAAAATACACTTCCACTTCAAACAACAATACCATTACAACTACAAATATAAACGTAAATAACAATACTGATACCAATGCAAATGCAAATGCAAATAACAATACCAATACCAATACCAATACCAATACCAATACTAGCAACGAAAACCAAACTCAACACTACTGGAAGGATAAACTGGAACTAAACGCAAGAACCGGCGCAGCTACTGTCTTGGCAAGATCATCCATATATGTACACGGTGGTTTGACAATACCTTTAACTCTACCTGCAAAACTATCGACAAGCATGAACATTCAAAAAGAATTAATGCTATTCTTTGCAAAAGAAAAAGAACTATCTTTGAAATTTAAATCTTTACAAGATTACATTTCTCCACAAATCTTTCATCTCGATTTGATCTCAAGAAAATGGTCAAAAATTGATACCATCATACCAAATGATAACACAGATTTTGCTTTATCCCGTTTATTTCATTCAATCGTCTATTTGGATTCCGCTATCTATCTCTTTGGTGGCTTGATTTTATGTCCAAGAGCAGAAAACTATAAATTAGTACCCACTAATGACCTTTGGAAACTAGATTTAACCACTAAAAAATGGTACTGTTTGAGCAAAAACAATCAAAATATAATACAACGTTATAACCATACTATGCATATACAACTACCATCCCTTAATTCAGGACAGACAACACCTACTTCTTCTGCATTATCAAATATAAATCAAAATCAAAATCCAAGTCCATATTCAAATATAAACCAATTAAAAAATGAAGATAAAAAATTAATCATTGTCGGCGGGTACGATATAAATGATGAACCCATCTTCACTTTAGACACTTATAACATCACCAAAAATTGCTGGGAATTGGATAACCCTTCAAAATTAACCACTTTGAATTATAATTCAAAACCTTTCCCTTTACTAAATACAAACAACATTTCAACTTTAATCACCAATAATGATGTAAATATACCTACTTTAGTTTCTTTCTCACCACTACCCCAAAGTTGTAAAACCAATACCAATGATAATATAGCCTCATCACAATCACCAATAAGCAACCTCAATACTAATATAGGCATCGATATCACACAAAATATTTCAGAAAACCCTTCAAGTTACACCTCTCCAATGATTGCATTACCCTTAATTCAAAGCTCTAAAGGTATTAGGACAAACAATAACAAAAGTGATATCAATAAAATACTAAATTCACTTATTTCGCCCATAGGCTGTGCCTATCGAAATGAATGTATGATTATTGCAGGTTATCAAAACGAATGTACTTTGGAAAATTTTAAATGCTGGATATATTCCTTTAAAAATGGTAATTGGTTACAGTTAAATTTAAATTGTAAAGATTCAAATTTATTTTCTGGTAAACCCAGATTTTTCAATGTTTTGCTTGGACTTCTCACCACGAAATTTTATTTTTGGGTACTTCCTCAATAACAAATGATGCAACTTCTGTTCAGAAATTCGATACTTTACTTTCTGTATCTTTACCAGTATTAAATACCTCGAATGGAAGTTTTAATTTAATAAGCAATTATTCACTCAGTTCGAACCAAACTGACCAAATTCATTCGGATTTAAAAAGATTTCATACGAGATCAAAAGTTGAAGATAAAGTCGAAAATATTCCATCAGTTATCCCAGCTTCTCAATTCGAAAAATATATTCAGTATATCTCCTCTAAAATCGGTCAATCAATGAACTTTTTGTTCCCACCTTATGCTATGGTCCTAGGTAAAGATGCATTTGATGTTTTTGGAAAGTCTCTATCAGATTTTGAATTCATCACTCTCGAAGGTGATACAATCGGTGTTCCTATTTATCTCTTGCGGAAAAGATGGGGAAGATATTTTGATCTATTGTTAGCAAACGGATATGAAAAAGTTTGTTCTGAATATGAAAAGGTTGGCTTGGATATGTCTTTAATTGATTTAACCCAGTTGAGTTTACAATCTCAATCTTCAAAATCATCTTCTTTTGACCACCATTTCAATAGATTTAATAGGTCATTGGCCACTAGTTATGACCAGGAATCAACTCCAACAATAACAACTATTTCTCCATACAGGTCACAAAAAAATATTGCAACACCATTCAACATCGCTTCATATTCGTCAATGAAATTGCCACAGACAGAGAATAATCCACAACCTCAACAGCAGCATCAACAAGAAAACATAACTGAGCATACTTTAGAATCCCATCCATCACATCAATCAATATCCAGTCTAAGATCAAATAAGAGTGTTGATAAATCAAAATTTGACACAACAAGCTCGACAACAGGTATGGTCTTTAGAGTACCTTTTCAAGAGAGTACTGACCAGTCTATTGATTCTACTAAATTACCAGCCTTATCTATTTCTAACACGAACACAACATTGACCCCTCAAACAAAACCTCGCCGTAGTTCATCAATTACAATGCCAAGAATTGATCCAATGACCCCATCAACTCCACAGGATATTATTACAGCTCAATCTTCTACAAAAGCAAAAATGGCATCTTTGGTTGGTATGCAGGATCTATTACCTAGCGAATTTTTTACTTCGTCAAAGGAATCTCAAGATCTTGCTAGACCAAGAAATGATTCAACTTTTTCAAACAATAGTGTCAATTCATATGATAATGCGTCGTCTATTAGATCAAGTAACTCCCATGCCTCACAGCCTATGTATGAACAGGCAACCGGTATTGCTTCTTTGGCATCATTGAATATCATTATACCACCAAATTCGGAAGCCCCTACTGAACCTTTGCCACAAGTACCATCTGTTCCCTTTAATTTATCTTCGAAAAGTAGTCCTTTTTCATCGAGAAGATCATCATATGGTGTGAAGGGTAGTTATCCTGATTTAGATTTCAGACGGTCAAATTCATATAACTTTTTGGATAAAGAATTGCTGAATGAGGCTCAACAAATAATTGATAATCCGGTATTGTCAAGTCGTAGAGCTACATTTACCTCTCAAGGAGCAGGTTCTCCTCACAGACCAAGTTATCACAAAAATTCAACGGCTTCTGATTCAAATAGTATATTCCATCATAACAATTCCGATGCCGCTGATTCATTATCTTCAAACTATATGTTAGAACTTGATCCCTTGTTAACACCAAGAAGTTTATACATGCCATGGACAACAGCATCGACGGAAGCATTTGCAGAATTCTTTTTTACAGGACAAGTAAACTATAAATGGACAATAGCACCAGTGGCCGTTAATTTACTTGCAATGTCTAAACTTTATGAAGTACCTTTGTTGTACAATTTAGTTTCAGAAGTTTTATATTCCGTTATATCAAGAAAGGAAGAAAACTTGTATATTGCATGCAAATCTCTGAAGAATATAATTAAAGCAAGAGTTGCAAAGTGTTGTCCAAGTGATTTAGAAAGAATAACAAATTATCTTTCAAATAATGATATTTATAAACAGTTAGACACCTACCAAAATTCTCTGAGATCACTTAATAATGGGTTTATTGACGTTGATGTCTTGAAAAGTGCTTCTATATCATCATCAATAAACACACATCGTGGAAGTGAAACTTGTGAATGTAAGTACGGGTCGAATACAAGAAAATCTAGTATATGCTCTTCGATTTTGAATACACCTACAACATTTGCATATGATCATAGGGACAGTCATAGCTCTACCGGATCTGGAACATTTCCTTCTAAGCTACATATACATTCACCAAGATCTTCATATTATAATCCATTGGGTCGTATAAGGAAGAAGTCAAGTTTAAATAAGGAAATATTTTTCTCTGATATACCAACTCGTTCAGACTCTAACTTAGGTAGTAAAACTTCAAGTTATTCAATGCATGGAACCACAAGTGAAGGTGATGAACCTGAGTCTGAGTTTTTTGCTAAAATTGGTACACCAACCGAAATTGAGGAACAAATAAAGTCTCTAAACTTGAAAGATGATGCATTTGATGAACCAATTCTTTCTACAGTTAAGAAGCCTAGTTTCAGCAACGAAGAATTAAATGGCATTTTTGAATCAGAACTGGATTTGTCTCAATCTGAATCTGATGATGATGATGATGACGATGGCAATAATGAACTAGCAGGAATGTCTATGAAAAAGCTTCAAAAGGAAGTTACTCAAGCTAATAATATGGATGAATCAGTTGATCCATTGTATAAGATAGATTCTAAAACCGAACTTAATGATGGTCAAAACCCATTACTAAACAGAGTGAAATCCCCTAGAGTTTCTAGGGATTCAAATTCCACATATGGAACAAATCCTTTAGTTCTAGATAATTTATTATCGAAAGACTCACTGCCTCCGGTTGATTGTGTCATTAAAACAATTCACAAAGCGTCAGTTTTAGTGAACGATATCAGGATGATAATGAGATGCGTTGATTGTATTGAAATATCTAAAGAATTACACAATATCAAGAAAAGACTTCCAGAAGAATTGACAAAAATTGAAAATGAATTAAAAGTGATTTGATTTATTGATATAGACCAAAAAGAAAGGTTTTAGGATTTAGGATTTAGATTTTAGAATTTAAGTTTTAAATTTTGAAAAATAATGAACTCATTCTTCTTCCCCTGATTATGAAATATCCAAATATTACAAAGTCTTCGATTGTTAATTGAAGCTCAATGAACTTTCCATACTCTGCATTTATTTTTTTACACTCATATATATATATATATATATATTCTTTAATATTATTCATTTGATTATGTAGGTAGTATACTTGGATGTCCAAATTCACATTCCAACTTCTATTTACCCCTAATTTTATAACACAAGAAAGGATGCAAGCGTAACTACAAACAAGCAAGAAATAAATTGTTAACAAAATACAGCCTCAGTTTATACTAGTTAAAAGCACCGCTATTAAGGTGGTGAAACAGCCACGGCACAATCCACATCGACCCAATTGTTTCAATTCAAAGTTAAGAACTTAGATTTGAACAGAATGGATAACTAGAGTTCTCTCGAACACAGATGTTAAACATAACTATAACCTATCCTCATCGACTGTAATAGTTGATAAGGATCTTTAAACTGAACAAAAAAAAAGAGAATATTAATCAGTCAAGAAAGAACAAAATAGAAATAGAACCAAGCAAAACTCGTTGATTATACATTCTGTTTTTTTAAAAAAATCAAGTTTCCATCCTATTTATATACTCAAGACCAGTTTTTCAAACATCATTATAGTATTCGTTTTACTTTTACGTCTGTCTGCCTGTCTCTTTGAGCTTGTTGTACTGATTTAAAACCCATTTCGAAACATTGATACTCACAAACACCAGTAGCCACCTAGAAAATTTTTTCATCGTAATGTATGATACAAAAAAATAATATACGATGAATTAAAAATTAGCTGTAATGGTCACGTTGAACGGTGAAGTTTTTTCCGTTGTTAGGGCATTTTTTGAAGCTTTTTTTTTTTTTTTCGATTTTTCGATTTTTAGTTTCGAGATTTTTTACATCTCATCACTAACCTACTATTCCAATTTCGAATTGAAAGGTTATTCGAAACCAATTATCATTTCGAAATTAGCAATAAAAAGATATATACAGACTTTTGAGTCAATTGGACAGTTCCACTTGGTTATATTTACTATATCCTCTTAATCTCTAGAACCTGGCACGTAATTCTGGTACATATTAATAATAATAAAAAAATAATTTGTTATTATTACTATTAATATTAATATTATTTTTTTTCTACAAATTACACATCAGTACCAGTTTACTCAACTTCAATTGGTCGTAAATTAGTACCAACATGGACAGTTTATCTTCCAGTAATTCTAAATCATGGGAGGAATTATGTCCTTTGTTAGAACGTAACTGTCATGACTCTCTATTATCAAAAAGAATTCCATTTTTGCAACAATTGCAGCAATTAATTAAAAGTGAAACGTTAGAATTTAGTGACTTGTCTTATGTTTCTGCAGTGTTATTAAATACTTACTCCATCTACCAGGATGCTAAATCAAAGAATTTAGTTGTTTCTATTTTCAAATCTATTTTAGATTTAGAACCAAGATTATTAGAAAATTACAGTAAATTCATTTTAAAAATTTCAAGTGAAAAGCCTGGTAGCAAAGCTGTAGTAGACTATTTAAATCTATTGGAATGGGTTGACCAATTCATTTTGTTCATCACTAGAGATATCGATTCTTTTAAAAAAAATATCGAATTGTTAATACAATCTCATATTTTTTTAACTCATGGTATTGAATCAGCTCTTGATAATCAAGAAAATATAAAACAATCTCATGCAAAACAAAATCAACATAGAAGAAGAATCCGTCAAAGTATTCTACAAAGTTCAGTGAAAACTTTTGTTAAATGTTTTAAATTGAATACCGAAAATAATGTTTTAATTTTATCTTCTATATTAGAATTAACTTTAAAAAATTTTACAAAATTAAATTTACCTACCTCTGGTGCAATCTTCATAATTGGTTCCTTATCTCAATCATGTACACAATTACTTTCGTCACAACCAAAATTACATCATCAATTTAAGGAAAACTATGTTACTGAATGCTCTGCCTTTATTGGTAAAGAAGTAATCTTGGGCAAAAATGTACCTTCACCATTCTGTTTGGAAATTTCATTATCTCCATTTTTATATGAATTCGTTACATTAGACTTATTTAATACCCATTTCTTACCTAACTTAGAAAAGGCAATTTTGAGAGCACCAGAATCATCGTTGGAAACCTTGAATGAACTATACTCTGCTGTTAATTCTGAAAATATTGATATTTTGAAAATTCATACATCATCTAAATTAATGACACAATGTTTCTCATCTTTAAAAAGTTCAAAAGAAAATGTTAGAATTATTGCATTGACTACTATATTGACCGTATTGACCTCTTCCTCATCAAATTTAACAACCTCTGAAACTTTATCTAAATTTATAGCTGAAGTCTTCAAAAATATAAAATCCAACTTGAATGCCGACTACAAAACTACAGCTTCAATCATTTTATATCATTTGCCAAGATATTATAAAGAGTCTTCCAATGAAGTTGTTAAAGGTCTAACACAATACGTCAGTAAGGAATCAAATGAAGCTGCATTAAAACAAATGTTAGATGCCTTCTTTGTACATTATTTTTATATTGAAGATACCATTGAAGAAACCGATAAAACTATTTCCAACGGTTTTAACGAAAAGAAACCAGCAATAAAGAAAATATGGTTTATTTCATTTTTGACTGCTTCAGTTCATGCATCAAAAGATATCCTATTGAAGTTTGGGGATAAATGTATTGAATTTATTTCAGAAACATTTAGTCATAGTTTAAAAAATAATCACATCGCATTATTGGGTTGTTTTGAATTTATCCACCGTATCTATGAATTAGGTGCATCAGATATCAAGGCAAAAATTGTAGATTTGTTTAAATCTTTTAATGGTACTCCAATCGTAGGTTCAGCATTATTAAGCATAACGCTATCAACATCTTTAACTTCTGAACAAAGATTACATTCCATAAAGTTGTTAGAAAATATTTATATCAGAGAACCAGAGATTATTGGTATGAGTATCATATCATCAATAGAAGAATTATTGAAAGATTCGGATGATATCTTAATTGATGAATTTTCCTATAAATATATAACTCCTGTTTTCAATGCTATTTCAGTGAGATTGGACAATACTGACATATCATCAAAGATTTTAATCAGTGAACTACTTATTTCACAATCAGAAAAGTTCAAGTTGAAAAATGGATGGGCTGGTTTAGTTCAACACGCTCAACAAGATCCTTCTCAAATTGTTCAAGCAAATGCAATTGAAATAATTGATAAAATAGCAAATGTCTTAAGTAACCCAAAATTTTCAGGTTCCGATTTTGCTAACTGTGCATTGAAATCTGCCGCCTACAGTTCATTTGTTAACCCAGCTGCAATTGTGGGGCCATTATCAGAATTAATAAAAACTGACTTAAATACTACAGCTCTTTCCAAATTGACAACTCAAGACTTCGAGATTTTTAATACTGCGGAAGGTGAATTAGTTGTTAATGTATTAGAAAAGAATTTGAACAATAAGTTGGCTGATAAAAATTCCAAGGATTATGAAACTTTGAAATGGGAGCAAAATATAAGAAAAGAACAAGCTAAAAAATCAGTGAAAAAGTTGACCAAAGAAGAGCAAGCATTGGTAAACGAACAACTTTCTAAAGAATCCGAAATTAGAGCAAATGTCACATCCATTAAATTGAAATTGCAGCGTGGTATCCAGTTAATAAAACAACTTGCAAATGATTCAATACAAGTAGATAATGGTCGTGAAACTTGGTATCCAGTTGCGGTTACACAATTATTAAACTTATTGGGTAACAGAAACTCATATTACTTAGTTCAAGAATCTGCTATTCACACTTTCTTAGATTTGTCAAACTCGGTTACTTCTAGACTTGATCAAACCAGATTTTTTATTGGTCTTGCCACTTTACGTGTACACTCTATCTCAAATATTCCAGAAAATTATTTAGAAGAACCTTTATTAGACCTATTGTCAAGAATTTTATTTAGAATTAAATTTGTTTCCGATCAACTACCGTTAGATGCAACAAGTTTAACATATCTATTACCATTATTAACCACAGTTTTCGAAGAAGGTAAGAAGGTTGCCATTAAAAATGCTGACAAACCAGTCTCAAGAAATGAGTTTGTCGAAGAAGATAAGGAGGAAGAACAATTATTATTAGCTTTAGATATTATTGCTGCCCATGCAGAAGCATTTGAAGATCCTTCAATTCCAAGAGTCCCAATTTTGAAGGTTTTGCTTTCTTTGATGTTGTTGGCATCAAAAGCAAAGATTGCAAGAGATTGTTTCATGGCATTAAGTCAAACTATCTCAGTTTCTCCTACCAAAGAAGATTTAGAAATTCTTCTACAAGGTGTTTTATCACCAAATGAATTTGTTAGATCGACCATTCTAGAAGCAATTGACAATGAATTTGAATTGGAGCCTTTCATGAAATACTCTATTGAGGTATATATATGTAAATTTGACTCGCATGATTCTATTCGCTCTATTGCTGACTTCATTTGGGAATTTAGCCATTTTGAAGTTTCTCAGGAAATGATTGATGAATTCTTTTCCTACTTCAACCAAGAAGACAGTGGTATTCGTTTATTTGCAGCTAGAGGTTACGTAGCAGCAGTAAATGAATTGAACAAAAAGTTGGCTGGTTCATTAGAATCTAACTTGAATTCATTATTACAGTTTTACTCTGAAAAATCAAAACCACTGGAACCAATTGTCGATGACTTTGGATTGGTAGTTGTCACCGCTGCAGAACGTAAAGATCCTTGGGAAGAAAGAAGTACAGCTGCCATAGCACTAAAAGAAATGGCCCAATTATTATCAGATAGTGATAAAACTGTCGTAAATACTATCCAATTTTTGGTTGAAGAAGGTGCATTGGGTGATAGAAATTTGTTGGTCAGACAAGAAATGAAGGAAGCCGGTATAGCAATCATTGATACGCATGGGTCTGGTAAAGTTGAAGAATTAATTCCAATTTTTGATAAATCCCTAACTTCTTCAACTGAAATTGATGTAAGAGAAAATGTTATTATCTTATATGGTTCATTAGCAAGACATTTAAATGAAACGGATTCGAGAATTCATACCATCGTTGAGAGATTGGTTGCCACTTTGGATACACCTTCCACTGATGTTCAACAAGCTATTGCAGAATGTATTGCTCCATTGGTAGTTTTATTTAAGCCAAAGGTTAGTAATTATATCGATGTTTTGATGGCAAAACTTTTGGATACAAATAGTAATGTCATGGTTAGAAAAGGTGCAGCATGGGGTATTGCTGGTTTTGTTAAAGGTTATGGTATATCTTCTCTATCGGAATTTGATATCATTCGTAATTTAATTGAAGCTGCTGAGGATAAGAAGGATCAACAGAGAAGAGAAGCTGCAGCATATGTCTTTGAATACTTGTCAAAATTGTTAGGTAAATTTTTCGAACCATATGTTATTGAAGTTCTTCCAAATATTTTGAAGAATTTAGGTGACTCAGTTCCAGAAGTCAGACATACAACTGCAGAAGCTACGAAGGTTATTATGTCACATACTACCAGTTTTGGTGTAAAGAAATTAATTCCAGTCGCTATATCGAATTTGGATGAGATATCCTGGAGAACGAAAAGAGGTTCCGTTGAGTTATTGGGTAATATGGCTTATTTAGATCCAACTCAATTATCAAATTCATTGTCAACGATTGTTCCTGAAATCGTAGCTGTTTTGAACGACTCTCATAAAGAAGTTCGTAAATCTGCAGATGAGTCTCTAAAACGTTTTGGTGAAGTGATCAGAAATCCAGAAATTCAAAAATTAGTCCCTACTTTAATTAAGGCTATTGGTGATCCAACCAAGTATACTGAAGAAGCACTTGATTCTCTAATTCAAACACAATTTGTTCATTATATTGATGGTCCTTCCTTAGCTCTAATTATTCATGTCATTCATCGTGGTATGCATGACAGATCTGCAAATACCAAGAGAAAGGCATGTAAAATTGTTGGTAATATGGCTATTTTGGTTGATACTAAAGATTTAGTCCCATACTTACAACAACTGATTGATGAGGTCGAAATCGCGATGGTTGACCCTGTTCCAAATACAAGAGGGACAGCGGCTCGTGCATTGGGTGCCTTAGTCGAAAGATTGGGTGAAGATCAATTCCCAGGATTAATTCCACGTCTATTCGATACT